GCCGCCAACTCACAAAGAGAAGCGCACGGCGCGCGTCCACTGCCATTGTTAGTTGGAGTGCACCTCACTCGCTCATCTCCACACACACACACGCCGCGCCGCGCATTAACACCGAGGCACGGCTCACACCAACCCGCTGGATGAAGGTAGTCCACTAAAAGCGGACGAGCAATTCACACTTCAATGCCCGGAGAAAAAAAATCAAAATTTTCCATCGTAGAACGCGCAACGAACGACATCGCGACGCGCGTAACGCAACGACGCCACTTGGGCAATGGGCCGCTGCAAACTCACTCGGTGCACGGCGCGCTGAGTCCGCTGTCGTCGTTGTCGTCGTCGCTGTCGCTGCAGTCGGAACGAGAGCGGCGGAGACTCGGCGAGAGGAGCCGAGGAGGAGCCGTGGAGGAGCGAGCTGCGAGGAGAGACGGAGGACGAGGGCTCTTGTCAGAGTCGCCCTTCCCGCGCTGCGCGAACAACAACACCAACTTGGCTGGCGAGTTCAATACAAGTTGGTGCGCATGCGCAGGAGCATCTGCTTAACATAGTATTAGCATATCATTAGCATATCATTAACATGTCATTATCATATCATTAGCATATATTAACGGGCATCTGCGCAGAGCGCGGGAAAAGTGCGGTGGGAAATTCAGGATCTGAATATTTATTTAAAGAGGAGGAATCCGATGAGCTATGAAGCTCTTTTTTCACAGACGTCTAGTAGTTTCACAGATGTCCAATAATATAATATTAGATTTAACGAAAAATTGGATTTAGCCTTTGTGGCAATAAAACAGGAATTAAGATATTCTTTGGGTCTTTCGGTAAAGTCACGTAGAAGGAAAATAATAAAATAATAAAAAATAAAACAAACATATTTGAGAAGGGAAATAATCAAATAATAAAAATATAAAACAAACATATTTGAGAAGGGAAATAATAAAATAATAAATATATAAAACAATAGAAATTCTCAAAAATGTTATTGTTTAATATTTTATTATTTCCCTTCTACGTGACTTTACCTAAAGACCCAAAGAATATGAATTCCTGCAGTCACGAAAGCTTTAAGTCAAGATTTAGGTATTAAGATGTCAAAAAACACCACGTAGATTCCTATTGCAAGGCATCACGTCTGAATTAACCACACGTGCACCTTCTAAAACATGCAGGCGAATGTAGCTCTGCTCATAATAATATTATTGAGTTGAAGCTTTCGTGACTGCAGGAATCCACTCTTTGGGTCTTTAGGTAAAGTCACGTAGGTAGAAAATGAAATAAATCACGACGTTTCGGGCGCAACACAAGCGTCCTTCATCAGCTGGGAAAGCGTGGCCTGCTGCTGATGCAGACTGTTGTAAAATGTTTGAAATGGGTGTAGCCCAAGGGTCATAAAGAAGTGGCCGGGGCTAGAGATGTGAATGTGAGAAATTAGCATGTTAATGTAAAATGGGAAATAAAAATGTGAGAATAGGTTTTCCCCTTTTTTCTGGTAAAACACCAAACTGAAACCTTTTACAAGGAATCATGTCTGCACAATACTTGTGTTCAGAATGCAAACAAAATACACACTCTAATAATATATGCATTGTCTTTGAAACTGATTGGTCCAGAGTGTGTTTTTGTTTGCAATATGACCACAAGCATTGTGGTTAATGCAGACATGATTCCTTGTAAAAGTCTCAGTTTGGTGTTTTAACATCTTAACACAGCTGTTTTGTTACCAGAAAAAAGGGGAAAACCTATTCTCATATTTTGTTACTGGCAAAGGAGGTCACATGATGATGATAATAATAATGTGTTGCATTGACTTAGAAAGGGATTGGCCTCCAACAGAGAGAGCAGCCTTCTTTGTGGCATTGCCTCACCAGCGTTAGACCAGAGAGCTCGGGTCGAGCAGTTATATTCTATGGGACTTTATACAATCAGGACGATGTAAAAAAAAATCAAGATTATGATTAACATGTATTAACATAAATTAGCACGTGGAGAGGCGTGGCTTTGATGACGCGCCACAAAGGGGGCGTGGTGACGTGCACCCGAGCGGGCCCGCACGTCCGCCAGTGACGTCACCCCGAAGAAGGGGGGGGGGGTGGGGCTGGGGTAGAGAAGGGAAACTGCGGGGAGGAGGGCCAGGGGGAGAGGGGGGGTAGAGGAGGGGCTGGGGGGAGAGGGGGAGGGGCTGGGGGGAGGGGCTGGGGGGAGAGGGGGAGGGGCTGGGGGGAGAGGGGGAGGGGCTGGGGGGAGGGGCTGGGGGGAGAGGGGGGGTAGAGGAGGGGCTGGGGGGAGAGGGGGACGGGGGAGAGGGGGACGGGGGAGAGGGGGGTGAGGGGGAGGGGCTGGGGGGAGAGGGGGAGGGGCTGGGGGGAGAGGGGGATGAGGAGGAGGGCCAGGGGGGAGAGGGGGAGTAGAGGAGGGGCTGGGGGGAGAGGGGGAGGGGCTGGGGGGAGAGGGGGATGAGGAGGAGGGCCAGGGGGGAGAGGGGGAGTAGAGGAGGGGCTGGGGGGAGAGGGGGAGGGGCTGGGGGGAGAGGGGGATGAGGAGGAGGGCCAGGGGGGAGAGGGGGAGTAGAGGAGGGGCTGGGGGGAGAGGGGGAGGGGCCGGGGGAAGAGGGGAATAGAGAGGGGGGGAGAGGGTGGGGGCTGGAATCTCCGTATAATGACATAAATACATAAATAACGCGGTGGACCATTTAAATCCCACTCCGCGTGTGCGTGCTGCTCATTGCCAAGTGCTGAACCGTGCCGCTCACGTTTTTTTACGCGCGATTTTGTTTAATTGCGGCAAACTTGCATTGCGTTCACACTGAGTTAACAGGTGGTTGGTGCGTCATTTGTTGCATCTTGCACGGCTGTGTGCGGCTACGAACCCGGCAACCCCAGTTTATGATATTGACTTACACTGGAGGAATCCGATGAAGCTATTTTTTTTACAGATGTTCAGTACGGGCGGATCAGAACGTTACAAACAACAAGCAATTAAAAAAATCGTGATAGGTGTGCAAAGTAAAGGAAAGGAAAACATCACGTAAAAGAATATACGAATAAATATTGATTTATAGCTTTCGTGAATGCAGGAATTCATACTCTTTGGGTGTTGCGATCGAAACGTCGTGATCTATTATTTTTCTATCTACGTGACTTTACAGAAAGATACAAAGAGTAAACTATACAAATACACATGTTTATTTGTTATCGTGGCAGGTAAAGCCCACTGAGCGATTTAGATAATTTTTCAGAAGCGATCTGGCCACAAATGACAGCTCATCAAAGTATCTCATCAATTCGCGCTCACAGCCAACACCGGTCATGAGCCTCCCCTAGGTCGACTCAGCCTCAAATGAGTACCTGGTGCGGCAGTGTGTAAACATCAATATCAGGGGACAAAAAGCAGCCGGGCGTGGATTATCTGAACTGGTCCTGGGCCTCCTCCCCTAGGTCTCTTCAGCCTCAAATGAGTACCTGGTGCGGCGGTGTGTAAATGTTGCCACTGGGGAGACAAAGGCGGCCGGGGGTGGTGTTAGCCACCCACCCCCCTCGTGTCCCACAGTGCCGACCTTCATAGGTGCTACTCGCTGACGGCACTTGCCCCAACAGTCTGTTGAGGCTACACGGGGGATCTTTGTCTTTGGTGCGTTCATTGTTCCGACTGCACGCGCTGCCCGCGTCGTCGATTCTCTCCGTGACGACGGAGCGGGTGTCCAGCACGGCAGAGAGTGGCACGGAACGTCATGTCCCCCCGTCTGTGTGCACGTCAGGGACTAACGTGACCCCGTGCTCAATGTCTCCGTAACTTTTGAGTCGTACGACGAGTCAATGATTTGGTGACTGCTGATGCCGTTTCCGCTGCGTTGGTAGTGGTGGACAAATGACACAAACGCAACGCATTTGTCAATAAAACTGTATGGCCTCATGATTAGCTAAAATATTCGGCGACATTTCAGGAAATTGCCCCTATTCACGTGCTATACATCTCCATATAATGTATTTGAAACGTGTGCTATGAACAATGCTCATTGCCCGATACTTTACGTTTTTAATTTTAAGACAGTGTTGGACAAATGTGTTGGGTTTTTTTGGTAAGTCTGCAAGGACGTAATCTACCCGAGCCAACTGACACTACTTAATTTATATTTAAATTTATTTTTACTTGGTTGGCTTTCTCATGTGACGACAGTTGTTTTTGCGCTGGTTTATATTCACATTCTTTCTTCATTTGATATTTTTGTGTTTAGCTTTTGTTATTTTGGCGACCCTGATGACCCAGGTAACTATAGGGTGCGTAAAAAAACACATGTTAACACTTATATAGGAACTATCGTTTTTAATGGGATAACGGATAATACACTGCAACATGATAACACATGTATTTTAAGAGCTTCAAAAAGTCTCCACTTGTTCGCCATCATTGTCAACACGTGCCTGGAATCCTCTCCAGGTGGTCTCCTGAGCCCGGAGGCACATTTCTCATGGTATTGTTGCAAATTCTCAGAAGTGCATTTTAAATGAAACTTATCCTGGTCTAAATTTCGATTTAAAAATGTATTGCTGTAGTTTTGACACCTGATGATGATTGCTTGTGTTGCAATCGAAAGTCGTGATAATATTATTTTATTATTTTGTTTCCCTTCTCCGTGACTTTACCGAAAGAACCAAGAATATTATCTTAGTCTCTTGACTTATCATACGGTGAAACAGAATAAACGGTTTTCCAGTTCACCCAACGCTGACCTATTGCCTTCATTTGCATTATTTTTTGCGACGTTAAAGGTGAATTGAAAACACCCTGTGATATTAATATGGATAGCCTATATCTCATAAATTCCACGATAGTCGACATGATGGATCAGTGGGTTTAAATAAAAGCAAGAGACATTGGAAATTCCCTCAATGATTCTGCAAGAGATCCCAAAGCACATTTAAATATACGTCAATAAATTAATCAACACCCACCATGGCTGCACAGTAACAACGTCCAATAAAGCCACATTTTACCAAAACGTATTTCATACATTGCCTTTAATAAGATACATTCAAACGCAAAGTACAGCAATGCAAAACCGTGCATCAACACATTTTTGTTGTTGCCGTTACAAAACATTCACATTTTTTTATGGCAGAGCATAAAACATGGCCCATTCGGTTGTACGCTGATCACAACAAAGGTGTTTCGTAAACAATTTAGAACTTTGATTCAAAGAATAATTTCAACTTCAAATACACGGCGCCTATGATACGTCCCATCAGGTACCGTGCGTACACATGCAGCGCATCTCTTGTACACTGAATACATGAAAGTCATTCTATTGATGGGGGGGGGGGGGGGGGGGGAAGAGTCGTCTGACTCAAGTGGCGTTGGCGAGTGGGTGCTCATTACGGCTGGAACCGGCACGCGAACGTGCGTCATCGCCAGCACCACACAAAGGTTAGCCGACCCCCCCACCCCCCCCAATATCAGTCGGTGAGCCCAGGACAAATGGTACCACTTGTCCGATACCACCTGGAGGTGGCATGACTTGTAAGTGGTTACAATCTCTTCGTGTGGCCAATAACAGAGAATTACGTGAAAACCACTTGAAATTAATAGGGTTATCAAGTAATTCACTATTAGGTAAAATAAATCGATCGGTGGAACCAATTTCTGCACTGGCCTGTGGACTACAAATTATATACAAAAAACAGCCCCATCAATCCACGAGTGGATGAATTCAGCATGTCAGTCATGGTGGTTGTTTGACCGTACTTCATCACGCTGGCTAATGGGGTTGGGGAGGGCAGGGACAGGCTCAGGATCGGTTCAGACATGACGCACCACCGATGTTAGCCATGGTCGGGAATTGAACTGTGGGGGCCAGGTTCGTAGTACAATGCCCATCACCACTACGCCGCAGCTCCACCACGCTCCGCACGTTAGCTCATCCTCCAATGAGCACCCAGTGCAGCTCACAACTGCACTGGGTGTGATACAAATGCGGCTGTGTCCTTATGTAGCAGTGGTCTCACCGTCTACTCCAGTGCCACACTGGCCATGAATATTTGTCACACGCCAACACCAATTTCCTCAACGCACCATTCAGGATAAGCGGCAGATAACGTGCGTGTGTGTTGGAGAGTATGACGTAGTGCTGCTGGGTTATAATATCCAATACCCATGATTAACAGGAGCATAAATATGGGTATAATGATACCAGCATCACGATCCAATACATTATATTTAGAGCTTAACAGATGCATTGCAAAGCCTGGCCATTCTAAAAATCACCACTGGACTTGATGCCTTGCAATAGGTTTCAATTTGGTGTTGAAACATCGCAACACCTGCTTAATGCCAGACAGGGGAAACTCTTTCCTGAATTTTGTCATGATTTCTCGGTTTATTAAAACTGTGCAGTGTTCTGTAACAGTTCAACACAAGTCCAGTATCGAATCTTGGAACAAATCAATTCCTGCCACCCGAACACAGATGCCAATTCTCAGACAGGTGGCGACTCCACATGTACTCAAGACCATCAAAAGGCATCCATCTCATTGACAACCATCCCGATGAGGCCACTGCGATGTCATGTTTCACCCAGCACGAGCGTGTAATGCTGACATCGGCGGTGGGGCCGCGCACTTGTCCATTCCCACGTTTGTGAATCATTTAAATATTCCAGTATCAGTTGAATTGAGTCTGCGGTGTCAAGATTCTGGGTTCGAAATCTTGGCAGCCAGTGGTGGTCGATTACAACTAATTATTCGGTGATGTTCCAGCTGCTGCAGAGTTGGCAGTCGTGCACAAACATAAATAAAGAAAAAAAATCGTAACACCTTCGCCAATAACACTGTGGCCTTAGAACAACAAATATATATATAATAGGCGACGTTTCAGGAATTGTCCATTCTTCACAGCATGTGTTCAGTTAATTTTGTTGATCGGCGATGAAGCAGTTCTCCAGTGGAGCATGCCTCATCATCTTTGCCTATCTGCCAAAACACTGCCCAAATGACGCTAGTGTATCTTACGCATACAGGGCGATCCATTTATAGACGCCTCACTACAATAGTCGGGAATACATCTTAAAGAAAGAAACATTTAAATTCAAAAGCCTCTAGAAATCTGCCACCAACCCTCAGTAGGCATATTCCATCTATTGGCACTCTCCTCTGTAAGATATGGATAAATTGCGTGCACAATGCAGTATTCAATCACCTGTTGAAATGGAGTCATTAGAAATCAGGGAGGTATCTATCCAAGTGTGTCACGTTCTTACCCGCCCGTACGGGACATGTGAAAAAAGAGCTTCATAGCTCAACGGATTTTTCCAGGATAAATCAATATTTTGATTCTGAAGTATCACCTGTATGTCACATTTCTCTATCTAATTTGGTGTATCCCAGCTCTGAGGGTTACTGTTTTTGGTAAAAGTAGTAAACTATAAACGGAAAGCATCGCGTGTGGCACACAACTCCTTACAGAGCGTGACAGAGGTGCTGTCTGGCTTCAGGTAGGACAGGCCTGAATCCAGTCTGCAGTCGAAGGCCCAGTGTCCCCCATGTTTCATCTCCACTGACAGCCCTGAACTAGTTGTGCAAATGCGACATTCCCATGGCAGCAGATGCCCACCAACACAAGTTTATCCACTTCTGACTCCCCATAAGGTGGTACTAATTTTATCCTTACAGGAGGGATGATGGCTTAAGTTCAGAGGTGGATAAAGTAGCTTCCCGGGGGGGGGGAGGGGGCAATCCCAAAACTTCAGGATGAAAGTCAACTTTTTTGTCCTGGTGAGTATTAATGTAATAACAATTTTGGAATTCTCAAAGAGGGAGGATTTGAATCGAACCCTTCGCTCGTGCTTGAGTGCCACCTCGCCGGGCAACGTGCAGAGCCCCTCTTTACAGCAAATATCGAGAGTTTACATGGCAACAATGAAAACTGGAAATGAAAAATATTACGTAGAGCAAAGTACGTCAAATAATTGGCACGGACGGGTCACGAAAGAAACAATTAGTACAAACATAACATTGTAAAAAGGTGAGATAAATAAAAAATATATAATTAGAAAAAATATTGGCTGGCTTTAGGTGCTTTATTTGTGTCACATGGGCTGTGGGAGCTCATTATTAGGACACTTTAATAAATATTACGAATATGGGTTGCACACACGTATACAGACACATATACAGCACAATATAGTTAAATATCTAACTATATATACACATAGGCACAGTTATATATACATATAGATACACATATACAGACGCATGTGTATATATTTCATTGTTATATCTTTATGGGGAGTAGTGACGTAGCAATTAGCACAATGTGCTATAAACCGACAAATGTTAAATCGATACCTAGCAACGGCTAACATCAGTGGAAACGTGAAAATCTGAACCTGTCCTGGGCAGCCCCCTTTTCACCTACTTGCTTTGACCAGCGTGGTGAAGAATGGTCAATCTCCCACATCAGAAATGGAATGGGGGAGCCCTTCACCCTGCAGAGGGTTGACAAAGGGCCATAGGTGGTATCAGGAATATTATTTCTGTATTGCGTGAATACGGTGTAATCGTAAAAACGCCACGGTCAAAATATTTAGACAATTTTTGCAACAAGAGATCAATGTCCACGCTATGACGTTTGGGCATGTGACGATCCAATCAAAATATTACATTCACATTGCATGCATCAAATCGTGCGCGTATGAGAATCAACGGTTGAAGGATTCTGAAAGGGATAGTTACCCTATCCTCTAACAGAACGAATAAGAGCCAGAGTTTGAGCCATTCCTCGATTTGAGTCGATTATTAATCAGAAAAATGTAGAAATTTGACAAATCCTAAGAGAAATATTGTAGAAAAAATTAGAAAAATATGAAGAAAATCCGCAGACATGGCTCCTGGTGCCTCCCACGTGGTTCCAAAGTTAAAGAATCACTTTGCAGGGAAAACAAGTTTCTCGATTAGCAATTAATTGAAGCGTGTTGTGGATTCTGAAGCAAGACAAGAGAGTCCATCTGGGTGGCAATTCAAACCTTACAATGGCAACGGACGGGGTGTCCTGCACTTGAAGAGGTTCCATGTAAAAAGCACCAAGAGAGGTTCCTTCCACATCATATATACATCTGACAAGTGCTCCAATACAGGAACCTCATTGCAAGGCTTCTGAAAATCGTGATGCTTCTCCGGGTAAATTCACATCACAAACGAAATTATTATAAGTTTAGTTTTTATCGTCAAGGTGTGTAAATCAACCCAGCGAACCTTGGTCATCCTCGCGGCCAGCCATCAGACAAAGACGGTCACCGCATCGGGCACTTTTAGTTGCTCTTCTGCGGCCGTCTGGAACGCTCTTCCTTCCGATATTAGGAACCCGCTGAAGCTATGATGCACTTTTAAATCATCCAGATTGAAAACTCATTTCTTTATAACTGCTTTTGGTGTTTAGTTTGTTGTTCTTCCCCCGCACCTCCGGTTAGCACAGTTGGCTACGTATGGTGCGAAAGAAGTTCAACATACATACATACTTCGCCATTGTATGCTCTACATGGCCACTAACATTCCTATTGAACCTCAACATACATGTACATACATTTGTATGCACATGTATGTTGGAACAATGGCGCTAATATTCTTAAATCCTCCCGTCCTCTGTCCACCCAGCAATTGAAATGGGTTCATTGTTAGCCGATCGAGGGGCAGCGTGTGGTGGGGTAAAGGGTGGGTGCTCCCACAAGTGTGGGTACTCCCGTTAGAGAGGCTCTTCCAGAGTCTCATCTCCAGTGGAGGCCCTCCTTCCGGCAGTGCCTCACGCGAGCAAATTGCAGGCCTGCCCCTTTACTCGCTCCTGTTACGATTTGGGCATGGAACGAGCTTGTGAAAGAATCTAAGAACTGGGCAAGGGGGTGGGATGATGGACTCGCCGCATGCGACCGCGGCGAGTCTCGGCGCGCCCACGAAGAGGAGGAGCGGGGGGGATGGCGACGCCGCAATTTCGGCCAGACGCAGGCAGATCCCCCCCCCCCTCCCCTCCCGCAGGGCAAACGCCGCCGTGCGAGAGGCCAAAAAAACCCACGCACACTGCCGCCGCCGTCGTCGTCGTCTGCACGGGAAATCGACTTTGTATCACGAATGGCGTATGCTCGTTAATTTGTGTACAAAACAAACAAGAAAGATAGAGAAATGCAAACGTTCGTATAAAAATTCTCCGCTCCGCGCTGGGATGTCACCGTCTGGTTTGGTTTTGTTTCGTTCGCAAACCGACAGCATACAACACGCGTGTCTGGGAACAGACGGTACACTCGCCCTGCGCAATGGTTCACGCTAAAACTTGAGGGGCATCGATTTGCGTGACTGCAGGAATCACAACGGTTACCCCTTTAGACAGTTCGCAACGTTTTCGGATAGAAAAGGTCCCGCTGCCCAAAAAGGCGAAAGAACAGTTCTTTTTTCTGTTTACGAAAAATGGGTTTAGAAGTCCATCAAGCGCTGCTATTTATAACATGGGGGGGGGGGGCACTCATCCGAAACGTCTAAAAGGATCACGTAAAAAACATCCGGGACAACGGAGACGTCGTCACATGGACGGCGCACGGCAGACGTGTCGGTGCGGTTGGTGCGGCAGCCGAGATCACGAGACGGGCCGCACGAGATGACAACCTCGCGGACTGGACGCACGAGACGCGGACGACTGCTGCGGGAGTAGACGCAGCAGGGGCTCCTCGTGCTATCGAGTGCACCGGGCGCCGACACAGATTCACCGGCAGCGCCATTGTCCAAGAGGCCAAAAGCAGACATTGCATCGTCTGCTTTGTTTTTGTCCCGTCCCGCGATTATAAACAACAAGAGGTAAACGCCTGCACTTTCCAGGGCGAAACCCAGACCGTTGAACACCGCAAGAGGAAATAATTAGCGAGGGTGCAGTTCGTCTGGTTGTGCACAGGTTAAGTGGGTCAGCAGGTAGCCTGGGGATGACAGGACGATGTTGCCGTTTGACGTGACAGCCACAGTGGAAGTTGACGTGAAGACTCGCCGTTCAATCTGCAGGTCTGGTATCTTGAGTGGCCAAAGGCTCGCGTTGCTGTGGACTTTTCTCCCCCCACCGCACCTCCCATGAGTTGGCTATGTACAGCGCGAAAGAAGTTCGACACGCGTACGTACGTGACAAACGAACGTCGACCGCGTGCACAGTGCGGAGACGACATGGAAACGCGCATTGGCCTGCTGGTGAGCAGGTTAGAGTGTATTAGGAGGTTAAGTCACGCGACCTTACTCTTTGGTGATCATGAACCACGGTTGGCAATGGTGACAGCGAAGGGAGCGTAGATGATTTGAGAGCGCTTATCTATCTGCTGGTGAAATCAGGAGGCCGAGCAGATCTGGACAGCTGCAGACGGGTGATTGGAAATTGACGTTGAAGTGAAGACACTCGGCCCATGTGGGCATACCGAGTTGTTTGACGGTGTCGTGGGGAGATCAAAGCACCAAGGTTGATATACCGAGCAGTGGCGATGACTTGAGGGCACTCAATCGATCTGCGGGTCAATTCGGGCAGCTCGGAAGAGTTCATCGGCGTTCGATTCGTAGACGTAGCACATCACCGTTACGAAAGCAAATCAGCAACGATGAAAAATATTCTTGAATCTATTGCCAGCGGCTCAGAGAACACAAGCTTAACACTGAGAGATTATGAAGCGAAGTTATTGTTGAAGGCAACGTATGGGCGAAGTAGACTTGAAGAGTACATGGTAAGTCCTCGCTTAACGCGTGTTCACACAACACGTTTTCGCTACGACACGGTTCCTTCCATTCGGGAACACTTTGCACAATGTGGAACGTGCACTGTTATAGCGCGGAAGGTGCGCGGTTACAGTAACGCGGTTTCTGAGTGGTCGACGACGAACTACTTGAGCTGCACGGCTGAGCGGTGCAGTGATACCATACGCGGAGTGATACGGTAACGCGGCGGCGTTACCGCGAGTAGTAGTAGTAGAAGTACATCGTATCTCGTCAAACTTCATAGTTACCTTATTCATGGGGAAATTGTTTTGTTTAACGGGTTTTTTGTTGTTGTTGGTTAAAGCGGCACTTTACTCTGCCATGTTAAATGAGGACTTAATCTATCTTTGACGTCAACCGAAGCCGATCACAGGCCTTACACTTTGGGGATCGTGAACCACAGCTGACACTGAAGACTGTATCGGAGTTGGGATGATGACTGGAGGGCACTGATAAGTCTGCTGGTGAGGACAGTTGGTCCTGTTGGTCATTCAGTTTAAGTCTTGGATCGGCGATGACTTAAGAGGTCACAGATATACGAACGGGAAAGCGGGGGGGGGGGGGGGGGGGGTGGGCGATGCTCACGAACTAATGCTGGTGTTGAGGACAGCAAATACATGGAGGCGAGTTGAAAACAAAACGGCACAGGGGTGGAGACAACTTGAAGATACTCCGTCGTCTACGGATGAACTCATCAGATGACCTGACGGATGACAGTCCTCAACCCTGGAGGGCTGCGAACAAAGACTGGCGTTGAAGCAGTTTGGACGTCGGGGGGAGGGGGGGGGGGGGAGACTTGCAGACAAACGTTGAGGTTTACGGTCGGACAGCTCCAGCGGATTGACAGGGGTCCGCGCACTTGGACCTCCGGTGTCGAAGACGGCAGAGGAACGGCAGCGGCGACGATGACGATTCCTCCGGGACTACCTTCGTCGTCATCGTCGCGCTGGTGGTCGGAGGTCAACGATGGTGGGCCCGGCGCGGCCAGGGTCACGCGGCGACGTCCGGCGGAGGTCACGTGTCGATGCCCTTGACGAGCGACGACTCCAGGCTGATGGGGAAGCCGAGCAGGGCCTGCAGGAGCCGCTCCAGGTCGCTCACCAGCCTCGCGTCGCGCAGCAGGGCGACGTCCTCGTACATCTGCTGCAGCACGGGGGAGCTGGTGAGCAGCGAGAGCCAGCTGTGCAGCAGTTGCTCCCTGCCGGGGCGCGGAGAGGGGGAAGAGTCAGAATGTTTATTCATACTGGAGGAATCCGATGAGCTATAAAGCTCTTTTTCACGGATGTCCAGTAGGGGCGGGTAAGAACGTTACAACAACAAACAATATAAAAACACGATAGTAGTGCCAAGTACAGGAAAGGCAAATAAATCACGTAAAAACACAGAAATAAAATGAAACCATTTCCATCCTACCAGGCAAATCCCACTGAGACGTTAAATTATTTTTCAGAAGCGACCTGGCCACAAATGATGGCACAACAAATGTGGCTTATCATTTGGACATTTATAACAGCCAAATAATCTCAATGCATTTCGATTTAAAGCTTTCGTGACTGTAGGGATTCATATTCTTGGTTATTTCGGTAAAGTCACGTAGACGGGAAATAATAAAATAAAAAAAATAAAACAATAACATTCTCACGACGTTTCGATTGCAACACAAACAATCATCATCAGGTGTGAAAACCACTGCAAGAAAATTATGATGATTGCTTATGTTGCAATCGAAACGTCGTGATACTTTTATTGTTTTATTTTTATTATTTCGCTTCTCCGTGACTTTACCGAAAGAACCAAGAATATGAATCTCAATGCATGTTTCTAAATATGGAGGGAAAACCCGAAGGACCTGGATAAAAATCCACACCACCACAGTGAGAGAGACATTCTAACTCCAAATATACAGCAGGCGTCAGGGTAGGCATCGAACCCACAACCTCCTGAAAATCCCTTCGGTGTGACGGTGCCCCACGCTCCCGCGGCCTCCTCACCGGGCTCCGAAGCACACGAGCAGCTGGAACTTGCCATCCTTGCCGATGTGTCGCGGCGCCCCGTTGATGGCGCGCACGAGCGAGCAGAGGGCGCGTCGCGCCTGCACCTCCCGGCTCGGCCCCTCTCCCCGCCGGAGATCCGCGTCCGGCTCCGGCGCGGGCAGCGGCGGGGCCGGAGTCGCCGCCAGGAGCGGCCGCTCCGAGCCACCGCCGTGCCGGAGGAGCGTCGTTGCGGCCGCTGTGCCCTCCGCGGTCTCTTCCAGGTGCGAGGCCACCCTCTCTGCGAAGCGCGGGCGATGGTTTAGTTCCGGCAGTCACGAACTCCGCTCATCCTCGCAGCGGCTTTTGGCAGGCCATCGAACAAAGACGGTCACTGCATCACGCGCTTTCAGGTGCGCTTCTGTGGCCGTCTGGAATGCTCTTCCTTCCAAACTTCGGAAGCTACTGGAGCCACGCACTTTTAAATCTAGATTGAAATCTCATTTCTTTATAACTGCTTTTTGTGTTTAGTTCGTTGTCCTTCTCCTGCACATACCATTAGCACGGTTGGTTCCGTACCGTGCGAAAGAAGTTTCACATACATACATGCGTGAATCGCTGGTACGAATAAATATCAATAAAAATCGGACCCTGGCCATCACGATTGCAATGCAGAGTTAAAGACATTAAACTGCCGCTCCACTCATCTACGCAAATACTTGTACAGTAAAACCTTGGATTGTGAGCACAATTTGTTCCGGAAAAGTGTTTGTAATCCAAAGCACTCGTATATCAGTTGTGATCACGTGACGCTCGGCAGACAAAGCATATATGTACTACTCGTATTACAAGACCTCGCTCGTTTATCAAATTAATATTTATTAAAAAATGTTGCTGGTCTTGCAAAACACTCGCAGACCAAGTTACTCGCAATCCAAGGTTTTACTGTAAGTCGTTTGTTAACACCGGTCGTCTGATGGGAGTGTGGCAGTGGCCAACCTTTGCAGGACAATAGCTTTTGACTTCCCACAGAGTGGATACTCCCATTTACTTACTGACAGGAGGCCGACTCGCCCTGGAAGGTTGGTGTTTGTTGTAGTCAAACGCACCCACTGCAGTGCGACCCAGCTGGAGAGGAGTGAGCGCAGACAGAATTGATTCTTGCATGGGAAGTCAACAGTGGTCATCCCGATGGCGATACTGGCCTTAGCCACGGGTAGCAAGGAATTAACAAAACTGGTTTGGGACTGCAGAGCGAGTCGAGCACTGTCCAATGCTCGTTTGAGCAGTGGAAACCATTTGAACTCCGACCTTTTGGCCACAGAGGCTGACATGGGCAGACAGAAAGAGGAAGTCAAAGACTGAGCCTACGCAGGAACATTTATACCCCTTTTCCAAGGGCACAACAGTGACGAGCCAGCACGAACCCTTGCAGTCTGGGTGACTTCCTAATCTCTGAGCTGGGCCTTGACCAAACCGTGTCACGCAGGCATCACAGCACGTCCGAACCGAACTCGGGGTCAAGCAAGGGCCCCAGGGGTGAGGCGAACGACGAAGTCACTTGCGCGCGACGCCAGTCGGCACGCAGCTCACGCACGCGCCATCATCGCGTCACCTAAACGCACTTCTATATCACGCCACGCACTTTGTGTGACGTCGGCGGCACGACTCTGCTTCCGCAGGCGTAAGAGCAAGCTGGCGCCTCACCTGACCGGCAGTGCGTGCGATAAACTCCGCTACTGACGCGCTTGTCTGGCTTGACCACCCCCCCAATGTGAAATTGTGGTTGTTGTCCTGCATTGACATCAGCCGTACGAAAGAAGAAGAAGGACCTGGCACAGCGTGGCACCAGCACGGATGTGGCCGCTGGTTAAAGGGGCACCGGCGACTGAATACACTCACCCACAAAGTCCCAGACGAAGACAGGCTTCTGGAAGAGGCGTGGGGAGCGTAGGCCGTGCTGGAACACGTGCCCCAGCGCCCACACGAGGCCTCCCTCTCCACACAGCAGCAGTGTCAGGGACCCACGCTGCCAACGTAACAAAGACAAAGATCCGCACCATGTAGCCCTTTAGCCTAGGGGAGGAGGCCCAGGACCGGTTCAGATCATCGTCACTGGATGTTGGCCGTGAGCGAACTCGGGTCACTGGGTTTGTAGCGCAGCGCGCTAACCGCTGTGCCATCGCTCCCCACACAACAACAGCAGGAGCAGGAAAGGCTGTCAGTCACCGCTCAGTGGCTTTGATGTCACCACGATGCCTTTGCCAGGCTGGGGGCGTAGCGACACCTGGTTGAGCGGTGCAGGCTTGTGGATGGAAGACAACGGGAGGATAGAGCCCCCAGGTGGTGTTGATGGAGAGTTCCACCAAACAGGAGGCCATGAGACAAATTTGTGTTTTTTTTATTTTAAACTATAAAGTATTTATATTTTACCAGGTGAGGCCCACTGAGCTATACAGCTCTTTTCCCAAAGCGACCTGGCCACAAATGATAGTTCAACAAAGTGGGTTATCACGTGGACATTTATTGCAGCCAAATACTCCAAATGCATGTTGATTCTAAATTGTGAAGGGAAAAACCGGAGGACCTGGACAAAAATCCATGAGACCACAGGGAGAACGTGCAAACAGCAGGCGTCAGGATGAAACCCATGACCTCCTGCATGCCAGACGAGGTAGTTAACATCTCGCCACCGTGGCGCCCCCATAAACCAGTTGCGGCTCCGACAACGCCACAGGCAACCATAAACAACACGGGGGTTAGTTTAGTCCTTGTAACCCCTGTTTAACCTTACGGAGAACCACTAGAATCATCAGCACAAGCATTGCCAGCGCAGTCGAGCTGCTGCCTCTGGGGACACCATGACCTCACCTCTTTCTCAGGCTTGTGGAAATGCTTCACCAGGTTGTTGACGGCTTCACCCACCCCTTCCTGGATCTGCTCTGGGATCATCTCTAAGCGAGGCGGGGGCGGGGGGCATGGAGCAGGAAGAGGCAATTCGAGGTCAAGAGAGTCAGAAGCCATCCTATTTACAGAGTCGCAATGCCATACTGGTTCAGCAGTCACAATTCCATACAAAGCCTAAATCCAGCAGTGTGGAGGGAGCGAGCATTGGCGGATCGCGCACATTTATGAAACGCCCTGCCCCTCAGTGTCCAAGTGTGATAAACTGTTACAGCTAAATTATTTTTATTTTACCAGATAAGGCCCACTGAGCTATGTAGCTCTTTGTCAGAAGCCACCTGGCGACACACCCTAGCTCAACGAAGTGGCTTATCATCGTGTGGAAACGTATAGCAGCAAAGCACTCTAAACGCACGTTGATAAATTTGGAGGAAAAAACGGGAGAACGCGGAAAAAAATCCACACGACCACGGGGAGAGAGACACGCAAACACCAAATAATACAGGAGGCGTCAGTGTCGGGGTCGAACTCACGACCTCCTGCATACCAGGCGAGGGAGTTAACATCTCCTAGCCACTGGGTGTACAGTCGTCGTATTAAGTAATGCGATTTAAAAATACCGCGTTAGGTCAATTTACGCTTACTTTTGTTATACGAGCGCTATTATTAGAATAGCGCGCTTTGGTGCGTTGGCCACGGTGTGTGGAACGCGCTGCGAGCTAATCGTTAGTCTGGGGCAGCAACGTTGAGTAGCGATCCCGCCTGAGGTGCAGCAGCAGCAGCAGCAGCACTGGCAACAATCACAATCATGGGCAGCATCGGTCAGCATCGCCTCCTCGCGCACCGCCACTCTCCACGCCTCCACTCCACCAGCCCCGGTACGTTCGTGAAGATAAGCTTATCTTCTTCTTGGTTCTTTCGGTAAAGTCACGTAGACGGGAAATAATAAAATAATAAAAATAAAACATAATAAAATAATTCTCACGATGTTTCGGCCACAACGCAAGCAGCCGTCCTCAGGTGAAGAACAGGTCTGTCGGAAAGACAGCGTCTGAAATGACAGACCTGTTCTTCACCTGAGGACAGTTGCCTGCGTTGTGGCCGAAACGTCGTGAGAATTATTTTATTATGTTTTATTATTATTATTTTATTATTTCCCTTCTACGTGACTTTACCGAAAGAATCAAGAAGATGAATCCCTGCAGTCACGAAAGCTTTAAATCGAAATAAGCTTATCTTCTTTTTTTTAAGCTTATCTTTACGAACGTGTTAAAATCTTTTTGTTTTGCTTTATTCTTTCTTTCTTTAAATAGGCTGTTACTATCTTTAATACATGTATTGTAGCATTGTAAATATAATATGTTCCTGTAACCGGTGAAATATGTAGACGCAAGAATGGGGTTCAGCAGTGTGCTCTTCCTCACCCCAACCATTTCCTTGATTTCTTACGTTTAATTTACGCGATGTTGATCAACGCGCCATTCTTCAAGAACACAGCCCCCGCGTGAAATGAGAGGCAGCTGTACTACAAACTCCTCAAAATAGGAATGGGGCCGTCCATGAATGACGTCACGCGATTTTGGACGATTTTTGACCCCTCCCCCCCCCTCGTCACACGGCGTCACAAAAATTCAGACCCCCCCTCAAATATGACGTCACAAAACTCTGCCCCCCTCCCAAAAAAAAATTAAACATGCTTCAAATCGCTTTAAACTATTGTCATTGTAGTGCGTATTTAATGTGGCGCTGCACTCTGATGTTGTAGGAGAAAACATTTATTAAAAGTATATTTAATTAAGTAGAACGTGTTGTCTATATTTATTTAAAGTTGCGCATTTTTGTGTTACGTCACATTTCTTAAACCCCTCCCACCCTCGTTACACATCGTCACAAATGTCGGACCCCCCCCCCCTAGGTGCGTGACGTTATTTATGGATGGCCCCGATGATAGTATTCTGAATCTAAGACGAGTTGCAGAGTGTGTATGGTGTCACATTCAGGAGACGGCTGACACAAGGTGCGCCGTGGTACAAGAAAAGTGGATTGCGACGGAGTAACCGATCTCGCTGATATTAGCAGCACCCACTCACGCATCATTACTCGATCCATGGATTGGCAATTTAATCGACGCAGCGATCAACCGGCACATTATGAATAACCCCGTATTTTTTATGTTTGTTTATTATGGTATCGACCGAGCGGAATCGATGCAGTTAACCTCGATTAACGATCCACAATGATCATATATGGAGGGGCAAATCTCTGATCGGTGATTTTGTCGGGTGTACGAATTTAACGCTCCATTACAGCCACTCTTCACAGTGCATTAGGGACAGGCCTTGAGCGTTCAATTACAAAGCACGTTCTAGACACTGCACAGAAACTAGTGGGCATATTCGTTTCGTAGAGAACATGGCAGAGGGAACAAAGGAAAGACTTAAAACCGATGGAAGGGAATCAGATGTGTGTGGGGGTAGGGAGTTCGAAACAATGGGGGCAACAGAAGAGAAGGAGCGACCTCCCGCTGAGTGTTGTGGGCGTGGAGGAGCAGGGCAGTAATGGGTAATCAGGGACTGACTCCACTACACAAGGAACCCCTCTCACCACCGACTCCTCTCTTTTCGCTGAAACAACGAATCGCCATCACGGACACCCACTCGTGCCCCCTGCTGCACCCCCTTTCGCCTTCTAGCTGCACTTAATCCCCACCCTCCCAGCTGCACCCACTCACTCTCCCAGCTGCAGCCACTCAATCTCTCAGCTGTACCCACTCACTCCCCACCCTCCCAGCTGCACCCACTCCCCCCCCTCCCAGCTGCACACACTCACACCCCTCCTCCCAGCTGCACTTACTCACTCTCCCAGCTGCACACACTCACACCCCACCCTCCCAGCTGCACCCACTCACGCCCCTCCTCCCAGCTGCACCCACTCACTCTCCCAGCTGAACCCACTCACGCCCCTTCTCCCAGCTGCACTTACTCACGCCCCTCCTCCCAGCTGCACCCACTGTTGCCCTCTGCCGCACCAACTCTCGCCCCTCCCCCCCGCTCCCTCCTAGCCGTACTCACTGGCGCCGCCGGCGCAGGACCCGTTGGCGGCCGCGTTGGCGCAGGCGGCGGAGGAGCCAGCGGACGAGGCCGGGCCCCGTCGGGCGAGCGCCGGCGAGCGGGCGCAGGGCGCCGCGCCGCGGCTTCCGCGGTGCCGCTCGTCCCCCCGGGCGGCCCCCGCGGCCCTCCCGCCGGCCCGGCCCCCGCCACCCCCCGTCGTCGCCGCCGCCGCCGCGGCCGTCACCACCTCGCCCACCAGGATGCGCTCGAGGCTTCCGTCGTCCACGCCGCGGCCAATCCAGCGGCCGCACGGGAACCTGGCGGGCGGCACCGCCACGGGGGAAGTCGACGCTTTTAGTCTTCGTCGTTGTCGTCGTCGTCACAATCCGTTACGTTCTGGCATCGTTTGTGTTTTGGCAATCAGTCATGCACATTCGTCAATTATTTAAGCAACAACAAAAATGTTTGAACGTCAGTGCTGCGAAATATGCCTCAGTTCAAAACATGGGCACATCACGCCTCATTTGAAACGAGAGATTTGTTTCAAGTTACAGTAAACCGTTGTTAATTCGACACATGGGGCTCTGGCCTTGCCAAAATATCCAATATTCCGAATTACGTACAATTGTACTCCCCAGTTCCTTTCCATTACTTCTTGATGTAGGTGCAGACGACATTCCTGAGAGGGTTGGCTTGCACAGAGTGCATCAACAAGGTAAAGTCCAAAGCAACAGGTCTGCACTAACGCTCACCACGTGCGCCGCCACGAGACAGAGTCGTTGTTTTGGTCATGGCGTGGTGTCGCTCCACGTGCGTGCCCAAATTGGACCATTTGGTGCAGCAACTCGGGTCATGGCGAATTCATAATACTGTGTCGATGCCGAAAGCGCAGCCGTTCCGAATTAACCACAATTACGAATAATAATGATGATCAAATACCGAAATAACGAGGTTTTACTGTATATTTTTAAAAGTGCCCATTCGTTCATGGTTGAGCACATGATCCATTCAGAACTCCCGTGTGTCACCCCCACAATTATAGAGAGGCATAGAGGAAGTAGCAGGCCTGCCTCTGAAGTCCCTTAAACCACCTCTCACCCACACTTGGTGTTTCGCTTCTAGCATGCACTGCTGTCATCATTATCATGATCCATGGGCAGATAACCCGGAGGTGTCCACTGCACATTCCGTCATTTTTTTCCCACTTTACTTTCAGTCTACTGTGCCAATACGCTCAAGTCGTGGCCACGTCTTTCTGGCACCGATCTCTTGCGATGTCATCGTCAAACCATTCTCTCTCAGGCCTTCCTCACTTTCTCAATCTCCGGCTCCTTCCGTCGCGCTCATTGAACGCGACGGCCCCGTGGCAGTGGGGAGGGCAGGTGGAGGTGGGGGTGGTGGGGGTGGTGGGGCATCGGCCAGTCATCTCAGTGATGCGACTCGTGGCACCTGGGTCTGCCCCGTAACCTCCTGCCAGCGGGCGTTCGACACTTCACGTGGCCTCAACGTGCACATAGCCTGGCACAAGCGCCGTGGTGACATCACCGCCACTTAGTGCCGAATGGCGGTTCTTGTTGTTGTTGTTGAGGGGGTGGGGGGGGTGGGGGGGGTATATCCTGTGGGTCGCCAGACGAGCGCACCTGTACAGGTGCCCCGTGATCTCGTTCCGCACCATGACGCACTCCACCAGCCACTTGGTGAGCAGCCCCGCGTTGTCGTGGCCGATCTGCACCGTGGTGAGGCGGCCTAAGTTCACGCACTGGGACGGGGGGCGGGGGAATGGGAGAAACGGGTCAATGCGCAGCAACCCGGGGGGCTTGCAAGACTAAACAATGTTTTATTTGAGCAGGTAAGGCCCACTGAGCTATATAGCCAAGTACAGTGCGAAAGCACGGTTGGATAATGTTTTTTTGGGTTATATTGTGTAAATATAAATGTCTCGTTAACCCATCACCAACCGACACAGCCAATTAGTAAGGTTTGTCACGTGAACAAACGCTCCTTGATTCTAAGTGTGGAGGGAAACACCGCAAGGACCCGAAGAAAAATCCACGCGACCACGAGGAGAACGTACAAACTCCGAATATACAACAGCAGGCGTTAAGGGTCTGGATCGAGCCCAAGACCTCCTGTACACCAGGCGAGGTAGTTAACATCTCGCCAATGCGACAGGCCCAACTGTAGCTGCGGTGCAAGACAAGACGATGCCGCCACGCATCGTCGAGGACGGTGCCAGTGGGCAAATCTCTCGCGGCGGTCCGGGCACAACGACGACGCGGCCGCCGCCGCTGCCGCATTCTGACAACGACGCCGCCTGGCTTGGCGTGAACGAGTTAAGTAAGCAGAGAAGCAGCAGCGCAACGGGGCTCATCCGTCGCTCGTTTCCACTTTGTTAACCAAGCGCGGGTCGACACGCGCACCGCGATTTAGAAACTTGTCAGAAACACGCGTCTGCATTATTGAGATTATTTTCATGCTATGAATTTCTGCATGATGGGTCACTTCGTTGGAGTGTCATTTGTGGCCAGGTCGATTCTGAAAAAGAAGCTAATAGCTCAGTGGGCTTTACGAATTAAGATAAACATTTTATAGTTGTATTTGTACAAATATTTGTTAAGTGATATGTTTAGCTTTCCTATACTTTGCACTCCTATCGTGTTTTTGTGTTGTTTGTAACTTTTCTGACTCGCCCCTAATGGACATCTGTGAAAAATATCCTTATAGCTCCTCAGATTCCTCCTGCAGTGTGAATAAATATTCTGAATCTGAACTCGGGTTGCCGGGTTCAGAATCAGAATATTTGCGTCAATGAAACAAAATTGCGTTTAACAAACGTTCGCCTGATAATTGTTTTTTTACCCTTCTATCTGGCAACAAAACTGACACCTTTTTTACAAGGAGTCATGTTTACATAGACCACAATACCTGCAGTCGTAATGCAAACAAAAAACATAACTCTGATAATGTGCACTGTCCTTGAAGTTGATTGGTCCACACCCGAGACAGCTTTCCTTAGAGCCTAGTCTCACATGGGTTGGACCAGATGACGCCAAAAGGCGCACAACTCAAAGACAACGCACCATCAGAGTATGAGAGCTCGGGGTAAGCATTTACACCATTGTAAAACCAATTATCATATTTTTACTGGCAAATGAGGTTCCAATGGTGTAAACGTTCGCCTCTTCATATTGCTTGGTGACCGTCGGGGCGAGCGCCGATCGCGATTGGTCACGCCGCACCGAGTGGGGGCCGCACCTCGAAGGCGAGCTCCAGAGAGCTGCGGGGCACGAGCAGGACGCCCGTGTCGCCCAGGTCACCGCCCACGCACACCCACGGGTTCGCCGTCGTCACGGAGGGCCCCACCTTTCGGCTCGGCACGATGAGCACGCGGTAGCGCATCACTGCAGCGCGCGCGCGCGGAGGGCGGTGGGTGGGTGGGTGTTGTGGGTAGAGGGATGGGTGGGGGGTGGGTCGGGAGGTGGGTGGGTGGGTGTTGTGGGTAGAGAGATGAGTGGGGGGTGGGTCGGGAGGTGGGTGGGTGGGTGTTGTGGGTAGAGGGATGGGTGGGGGGTGGGTCGGGAGGTGGGTGGGTGTTGTGGGTAGAGAGATGAGTGGGGGGTGGGTCGGGAGGTGGGTGGGTGGGTGTTGTGGGTAGAGGGATGGGTGGGGGGTGGGTCGGGAGGTGGGTGGGTGTTGTGGGTAGAGAGATGGGTGGGGGGTGGGTCGGGAGGTGGGTGGGTGTTGTGGGTAGAGAGATGGGTGGGGGGTGGGTCGGGAGGTGGGTGGGTGGGTGTTGTGGGTAGAGAGATGGGTGGGGGGTGGGTCGGGAGGTGGGTGGGTGGGTGTTGTGGGTAGAGGGATGGGTGGGGGGTGGGTCGGGAGGTGGGTGGGTGGGTGTTGTGGGTAGAGGGATGGGTGGGGGGTGGGTCGGGAGGTGGGTGGGTGGGTGGGGGAGACGGGGGCGAGTGTGAGTGACAGATTCGATTAGAGATGCGAAACCAAATATAAAAAATGTGGAAAAATTACAAATTTACGGGAACAAAAAATCGTGCTGCGCATTTGCTTTGTATGCATGTTGAACTTCGAAAGGGCCCATTGATTGCTTAGCGATTACTACTACTACTACGCTTAACTGTATAGACCGTGGAGGTATTATGCAGACACACGCCTGTGTAATTCATTGTGGTGTTATAATATACTGTCAAAGGTCAAGAGGTCGTCACGGACAATGTATGCATGTATGTTGAACTTCTTTCGCACCGTACGTAGCCAACCATGCCAATCGGATGTGCGGGTGAGAGGACAACAAAACTGAACACAAAAAGCAGTTCCAATCTAGATGATTTCAAAGTGCATATCTCCAGTGGCTTCCTAATATCAGAAGGAAGAGCATTTCGGTGGCCGCAGACGCACATCTGAAAACGCGCGATGCAGTGACCGTCTTTGTATACATTTAAAGTTTTCCATCTCTCTCCGGAGCGCCTGGCGACGCGGAGCGCACGCTCGCCGTACACGGCTGCTCGTGTGTCGGCGGGGAGAGCCGCCTACCGACGGTGGAGAAGGCGTTGGTGAAGCAGTAGTAGTCGACGGCGTTGAGCGTGAGCAGGTGGTACAGGAACTGCTCCTTCTCGTCCTCCATGTGCAGGAAGGCGTACGGCTTGTAGAGGCGGCTGGGACAGAGACACAACGGCAAGTTTTTCTCTCTCCCACCCGTTCAGCCGGACACGTCGTTGGCACGGTTGTATTCGCCATGGCAGCAGGAGGCTAACGTGAAGGCGAGATGCTTCACGCGTGGGTGTTCATCTGCAGCAGTTTCACAGCAGAGGTGGGCTATGTTGCTGGGCGACCGTTCCAGACCGAGTCATTTATCGTATTTGGCAAATTTGGACCGTGACGGCGGCAGCGGACGGCAGGGGACGACCCCGGTGGCAGCTGTCCCTGTGAGGCACAAGATGAATGCGGGACCGGCCTGCAAGCAAGCATAAGCTTGCCAGTGAGGGGCAACGTCGCTATGTTGCTTCTCAAGTAACCCTTTCCCGTTCCGATAATGTCCACGTACGTATATGCACGTCATCGGAACGGAATCAGAAGAAAAACGAAAATAAAATAACTTTATCAGAACCGAAGCTCCCACAAGGCCATGTGGGAGGATGTGTGGCACAGTTTGGCGCCAGCTATCCATAGAGTGCCATGAGTACAATGTCTTTAAAAACAACGGCGCCACGCCTCTTTAAATAAAATCAACGCTGAGCCGCATGCGAGTTCCGAGATTCAGCAACTTGCACACGGGAAAATATGAAGTAATCTACGAGTTAATAATCGCACCGCTATTTTTTTAATGATGTCGCGGGGGCCTTTATCGCCGTTTACCATCCGGTGTGGGCGAACGGCGGCACGTGTCTCACGGGCCACTCGGATCTCCAGCGGCGGTAACGAGGGTGGCCGCTTCAGCTGGAACCGCGAACCTCTGCCACGCAAGCGGCGGCGATCGCCTACGGCTGGGGTGCGCGTCACCGCCCCGATGATGATGATAATGATGGTGATGATGATGGTGATGATGACGGTGATGATGACGGTGATGATGCTTATGATGACGGCGACGAATTCGCTCCTTACCCTGAGAGGTCCTCATCCGACAGCAGCTGCTTCAGGTGCCGGGAGAGCAGCTTCTTCTCCATGGAGAGGCGGACCCAGGCACGCGCTCGCCCCACGTCCGTGCGAATCTCTGCGATGTTCTGAATGTGCCTGTCAAAACGATGGGGCGAGGAACGGTCAAAACGATGGGGCGAGGAACGGTCACACCTCCTGCGCGAGTTGACCCCCTGCAGCGAAACTGAACTTGCACGAGAGCTGGCCAGGTGGTGCTGTGTAGGTGAGTGTGTGCGTGTAGTGTAGGGGAGCGATAGTGTAGCGGTTAGCGCGCTGCGCTATGAACCTGGCGACACGGGTTCGATTCCCGCTCACGGCCAACACCAGTGACGATTATCTGAACCGGTCCCGGGCCTCCCCTAGGTCGACTCAGCCTCAAATGAGTACCTGGTGCTGTGTGTAAACATTGCCACTGGGGAGACAAAGGCGGTCGGGCGTGGTGCTGGCCACCCACCCCTCGTGTACTGTTGCGGCCTTCATAGGTGCTCGCTAACAGCACTTGCCCCTACAGTCTGTTAAGGCTATATGGGGGATCTTTGTCTTTGTAGTGTAGCCTCAAGGTGCACATAGCCTGGCACAAGCGTCGTGGTGACGTCACCGCCACTTAGTGGCGAATGGCGGTTGTTGTTGTTGTAGCGCAGCAGTTAGCGTGCTGCGCTACGAACCCATTCAACACGAATTCGATTCTCGCTCACGGCCAACACCGGTGACGATTATCTGAACTGGTCCTGGGCATGCCCTAGGTCGACTCAGCCTCAAATGAGTACCTGGTGCAGTGTGTAAACATCGCTAATTTGGAGACAAAGGTGGCCAGGCATGGTGCTGGCCACCCACTCCTTAGTGTGCCGTGGCGGCCTTCATAGCTGCTCTGCCAACAGCACTTGCTGCTGCAGCCTGTTAAGGCTACATGGGGCATCTTAGTCTGCGCGTCTCTTTTTGTCCTGCATTTGGTTCGCTCTGGCGCAATCCAAATACCGAACCCAAATGGGCTCTCATCCAGTAAAACGAGCGCACTGAACGCCTACGCCGCAGACCCATTGAGAGAAGCGTGGCGCACTGGCAAGTGATGTTGGCTGGGGGCCCGTATCCTCTTCTGTATGGGGCCCCGCGGTGGCGAGATGTCAACTCTCTCGCCTGGTACGCGGGAGGTCGTGAGTTCGCTGCCGACCCTGACGCCTGCTGCTGTATATTTGGAGTTTGCGTTATCTCCCTCTCCCCGTGGTCGCGTGGACTTTTCTCCCGGTCCTCCGGTTTTATCCTCCAGATTTTAAAACGTGCGTTTAGAGTGTTTGGCTGCTCTACATTTCCACGTGATGATAAGCCACTTCGTTGTGCTATCATTTGTGATAGCCAGGTCGCTTCTGAAAAAAGAGCTGCATAGCTCAGTGGGCCTTACCTGGTAAAATAAAACATAGTTTGGTTTCGTAAACAAAAGTTCAACGAATATGAGGCTCACGTGAAATTGAGGCCAGGGTGTAGTTCCACTACCTCGGTGAGCCTCTCGCCAGGCCTGACCACAGAGGCATGCGCGAGATCGGCTGTGCTGGATTAGCGCTCCGAATTGAACATTCAGCTGCAAATGTGCGACAGACAGCTCGTTGCTAGGGTCATGTGAACTATGTTGGCGTGGTGCATTGTGGCCACGGGGGGTGGAGGGGGAGGGGATGTGGGGCTTCACCTCATGTCTTGCGTTAGAGAGGCTTTGAGTGGGGGCATAATGAGGCCCCCGTCGGACCGTCTCCTCTCCTGATTGGCCGCGATCCCTGGGAAAACCCACCAATCACAGCTCAGGATGGTGGCATCTGCAGCAGCAAATTTAATCGCAGGTTTGGCAGAATCAGAGCAGAAGTGAACGGGGTATACACATGCACAGATTCACCCACACAAAGACAAAGATCCCCCCGTATAGCTTCAACAGACTGCTGGGAAATGTGTTGTTAGTGAAGGCACGGTGCTCATGTTCGGATAGATCTTCCCACGTTTTGATGACACCGCACAGTCCGTTCACAATTTTGTAATCATTAGGTTTGCGACCCAGATTGGACGTGTTAGATGCTGAATCTTGATTTGAAGCTTTCGTGACTGCAGGAATCCATACTCTTTGGTTCTTTCGGTAAAGTCACGTAGGTACAAAAAATAAATCATAAATGACGTTTCGATCGCAACACAGGCAATCGTCATCAGGTAGAAAGATACAGCCGTAGAACTGCTGTACTCGTGTGCATTAGCATGCCAATCCTCATTTGGCGCATCTCTGACCCCGCCTACTCACCCTTGGGTGACACCCACCTCAAACCTGTATGAAGCCTCTTGTTGCAACAGCCCTTACTTGGTCAGCAGTTCTACGGCTGTATCTTACTACCTGATGACGATTGCTTGTGTTGCAATCGAAACGTCGTCATTTTTTTTTATCCCTACGGGAATTTTACCGAAAGAACCAAAGAGTATGTTAGAAGCTGATTTAATAAAAAAAATAAAAAAAAATTCAACTGGTTTGAAAAGAAGACTTTGATATATGTCTAAAAGCAAGCATCACGTGGCCATGTGGTTACAATTCTTCCAGAAGACCACAAGAATTTAGTGGCATAGACTCCAACCACAGACCCCGCGATTCACCACTCGGCTCCCCTTATTGCATTTGCATCTTGCCGCCCTCTACGGCAGCTGTGCCCAGCACCTCGCTCGCTGCCGCTGTTCATCCTCTGCTGCTTTCTCAGGGGACACTCGCTCCCAGCTGCCCGTGCGGATGGCCTGCCCCCCCCTGCCCCCCCCCCCCCCGGGTGTTCTGGGAGCTTAAGCCGCGGGGCCACGTACCCAGAGGGACGGCGCTCTCAAACGCGGCCTCCTTCTTCTCCTCCTCCTTCTCCTGGCAGCTCAGCAGGTGGGACCACAGCGCAGACTTTCCCTGTTCGCGCAGACCAACAACAGAGACAGAGATCCCTCCATCTCCCCCCCGCCCCCCATCTCAACCACCACCAGTGTAGCCTGGACAGACTTTTGGAGCAAGTGCTGTTAAGCGAGCGGCGCCTGTCATCGATTGTCTATTAATCGTGTAAACTGTGTATGCAGTACGTTTACAAGTATGCACGTATGATGAACTTCTTTCGCAGCGTACGCAGCCAACCGTGCTCATCGGAGGTGCGGGGGAAGGACAAACTAAACACAACAAGCGGTTTTAAAGAAATGAGTTTCCGTCACACTAATATGGTGAAAAATACAGAAAAAAGAGAATTATGCAACTTTGACAGCACAAAACAAGAGGAGGAATATTCAAATCTTTACTAAAATCGCGACCACGATTCTCGTCACTTCGCCAAATTTCCTGGGGGCAAGCAAACGTCGTTACGGCGCTCGCTCCAACGCCACCGCAACGAAAATCCTCCACACGACCGCTGATCTCGCGGGAGCTCGCTCGAGATTCCACCGCCCAGGAAGCTCAGCCCTCCCCTCGTGGGCCGCCCGGCCAGACGTCCAGCGCAGAACCCCACCTGCTTGGCCAGGAGCCCGTGTGACCAGATTCGCTCGAGGAGGTCGCAGAGGCTGGCGATGAGCGTGTTCTCTTCCACGCCGGTGAGCGTCACCTCGCCGTGGCCCAGCTCCACGGCCTCCTGGCCCATCTTCTCCACCAGCATGCGCTTGGTCTGGCGCACGGACAAAAAAGGCAAAGTTCCCCCGTGTAGACTTGAACAGGCTGCAGGGGCAAGTGCTGCTAGCGAGCACCTATGAAGGCCGGCACTGCACACGAGAGAGTGGATGGCCAACACCACGCCCGGTCGCCTTTGTCTCCCCAGTGGCGATGTTTACACCGCACCGGGTACTCATTTGAGGCTGAGTCGACCTCAAATGAGTTCCCAGATAATCGCCACTGGTGTAGGCCGTGTACGGGGATCGAACTCGGGTCGCCGGGTTAGTAGCGCAGCGTGCTAACCATTGTACTACCGCAGCCCATATGAATGTAAATTCCACACAGACACGTCAGCAACCTAATGCTGCGCTGCCACCTACTGGCCACTTTGTAGCCCTGCTACAGGGAGTCACGTGTTGATACGGTTATTCGTACAGGATCCATCAATTCGTATTCCTCGACAGGACTGGCACCCGTCGTGAGAATTTGGGATCGCGTAAGCGACACTTTAACTCAGACCACGAGGAGGGGGGGGGGGTGAGGAAGCTCCGTCTCTGGACTTCATTTGTCGTACGGGCCGTGGCCACCACTTCAAAACGGCCTGCAAACGATAACCACCCATGACTGCCAGCATCCTAGCCCCACCAATCGGGTGCTAGAGGGGGGATCTCATCTTCAACCCGGCAACACCGTGCGAGTAACTTTAGCACGTTCGATCACATCCGCCACCGCGAAGGTCTCATTATACTCGGACGTTACGGGGATGATTTGTCGCTTTATTATTTGGATAGTGCCAAGGTGTGTGCGCGTTGACGTGTGGCCCGCCAAAGGTACGCCAAGGTGCCATTCGGCCCTCATTCAGTCGATCAGACGGCCGCGTGTGGTGGGGTAAAGCGTGGGTACTCCCACCTCTTCCAAAACGTCTGGCCATTGCGGAGGAGTAGGCCAATTACCACGTGAGAGAGGGGCTCTAAAGGGCTTCTTCTCGTGGAGGCCGCACTGCCAGCAGTGGCGTGAGCGAGAAGTTCACTTACGTCTGTGAACTCTCGGGATGTTAATCCACACAGCGGTTGTGGCACCCGGTTGGTGAAAAGTTAACTACCTTGCCTGGTATACAGGAGATCGTGGGTTCGATCCCAACCCTGACGCCTGCTGCTGTATATTTGGAGTTTGCGTGTTCTCGCCATGGTCGCGTGGATTTTTCTCCGGGTCCTTCGGTGTTTCCCTCCACATTAAGAATGAACATCATGCGTTTAGAGTATTTGGCTGCTGTACATTTCCACATGATGATAAGCCACTTCGTTGAGCTATCATCTGTGATGGCCAAGTCGCTTCTGAGAAAGAGCTACGTAGCTCAGCGGGCCTCACCTGGTAAAAAAAATATAAAAACTTTTTTGTTTTAATAGTTTATGACACTTCGACACTTACGGGAAGGGAGTTTCACAACATGTGCGTGATCCGCGAACCCTCGCTGCCTCCGCAGTGGTGGATTACAGGCCACGTGCATATCCACCACCGACCTTAAAAGAGCTACTTAGCTCCATGGGCCTTACCTGGTAAAATAAATTAATATAAAAATATATTTCTCTCTCTCACCTTGGTGCGGCACTCCTTGAGCAGGCCCTCCACAAACTTAAGGTTGGTCTTGGCGAACACCGAAGGGGAGAGGTCGGCCAGCTTGGGCTGCCGAACGCCGCCCTTGCCCAGGCCTCGGCCGTCGGCTAAGAACTTCTACCGGGTGCGAACGCCGCACAGCGGTGGCAGGCACGGCACAAAGGGGTCAGAGGTTAAGGGCCGCCTCGCAGAAGCAGCGGCGGCTTTTGGCTAGCCGTCGAACAAAGACAGTTACTGCATCGCGCGTGTTCAGATGCGCTTCTGCGGTCGTCTAGAACGATCTTCCTTCAGATATTAGGAAGTCACTGGAGCTATGATGCACTTTTAAATCATCGAGATTGAAAACTCATTTCTTTAGAACTGCTTTTTGTGTTTAGTTTGTTGTCCTTCCCTGCACCTCCAATTATGACGGTTGGCTACGTACGGTGCGAAAGAAGTTCGACATACATAAAAAAGTGAAGGGAGGCGAGAGTTGAAGGAGTTGAAGAGACTAGGAATAGAAATTTGTTGGCATGTCTTAAATTGAACGTAGGAACCACAACGTCAGCACAGACATAGGATCACGTGACTAGGTGCGATGACAAATAGGCACGTAAAAACTATTGACACCCCGTGCACTCTCTGACGAACTGGGGGGGGGGGGGGGGGGGGGCGGTGTTTACAGTTCCATTCGAGGACCGGTTAGATTTTTTTCCCCGTCCCGTTTGCACCCTCCCCCTCTCCCCCGTCCTCATGCTGCGTGGCGCAGCTCCGCTCACTGCGCCGCCCCGACGCGAGCCTCGGCGTTCGCGGGCGGCGGTGTCGGTGCACGGGGGCGGCCCCCAAACCGCCGGGGTGCCCCGGACGTCGCCGTACCAGGTTGCACTCGGACATGGATTTGCGCGGGGGCCTCGGACGCTTGACCACGCGCCACCCGGGCAGCGCCAGCGCGTCCAGGCCCGGGCTCATCTCCGTGACGGCGGCTGCAGCGAGCAGCGGCTGCAGCGGTCGCCGTGGCGCGGTTTGTTGTTTTTGCGCGCGCGGTTATTTTTTGTTTCATCGCAGGTCGGTGTGCGTTTTGCGCATGCACGCGTGTTCGTGCGAGGGTGGAACCCGCGTTAGTTTGCGGTTTGTTTTCGAGGGAGTTTGCGCCCCCCGTTTAGCAGGGTGTGTTAGGACGCGTCCCGAGGCGTGGTTGTTGTTTGGGATTAGCGCGCGGTATTTTTTATCGCGACAATTAGTATTGGTTTTTTTTGCACACGATATATAAATACAACATTCGTGACGTTGGTGTGCCTTCCGGCGCGCAGTCGATTTTGGGAGATCATTTGGGCATGCATTTTTTGGCCACGTGCGTTCATATATCGCGCGCATCGGCGTTTTAACGCGTTAAAGTGCGTGCGTTTTTGCAAGTGATCGTAGCGCACGTTAAGTGTCCATTACGGCGTGCGTTGCACACGCGGCCAGCCGATGTTCATGCGCGTACATCCGGCGCGTATTTCACGACGAGCGTTGGTTTTGCGCGCGGCGCAATGCGAATCGGCACGTCTCAGTAGCACATTGCCGTTAGGTTGAGCAAGGTTACGCGTTAAGTCAGGCGTTGCGCAAAAAATAGCGAGCGTTGTGTTAAGGTCACAAGCGGAGCGTGAACAGAGAAGACGTACGATTAGGTTCCTCGAACAACAAGCCACATCTTTGTCCGTTCGCTTTGATTGCAGAAGTCCACAAACTTACGAAATATAACCCTTTGAACCATTAATCGCAGGACGGGCATTTTTTTTTCAAGCCTTTCAACAATCTCCCGCTTATTTTTCAAAATCAGAGAAAACTATGTCACAAACGTAACGGTAAAACATAATTTCAACGTTACAAAATCAAGATCACAAGGGCCGTGATCACAGTCGATGCCGGTGATGCCAAACATCCCAAGCAGGACCGACCTGAATGCTTAACACTGTCACAGCTCTGCTTATGTCACTTCTCACCTTGATTAATACTCTCTTTCTCTCTCCCCTCTATGCCTTTCTCAATTAACTCCCATCGAAACTCTAAATTATCCAGAATGCAACAGCCAGACTCCACACCCCCGTCTGTAAACAAGACCACGTCAACCCAATCCTCAAATACCTTCACTCACTCCCAATCCCATTCCGGACAAAACTGCCACTGCTCTCATTTTCATTTTCGTTCATTCCTTTACTCTGCAGCCTCACACGACACTCATGAATAAATAAAAGCACTGCAAATTCCTCATCACGTTGAGCCAGGACCTGGCATTGCTTGCACAGCAGTGTGAGACGTGGTCACATTGAGCCGTGTTGTAGAATCCGCATTCTATCGTCCGCGTGTGCGTGGTAAGTGTAGCGGGTTAGCGCACTGCGAGACGAACCCAGCGGCCCGAGTTCGATTCCCGCTCGCGACAAATTACGACGGCGAATATTCGAACCGGTCCTGGGGCTCTCCTAGGTCGACTCCTGCGCGTGCGTGTCTGGGTGTGGGCGCGCGTGGGGACTCAAATGAGCACCTGGTGCGGTGTGTAAACATCGCCACTCGGCAGACAAAGGCGGCTCGGCGTGGAGCTGGCCACCCACTCCCTCGTGTGCCGTGCCGGCCTTCACGGGTGCTCACTAACATCACTTGCCCCAAGAGTCTGTTAAGGCTACATGGGGGATCTTTGTCTTTGTTCAGTGAAGACTTGGATTAGGCTGTGACACAGACGTGCCTTGGCCCGTTCTATTGTGTGTTCTGATTGGGTCCTGAAGCGCCACTTCACAATGGGAGAGACGACTTCGGGAAATCGCAGGCGCACGGCACCTGCTCGTTGTCCAGTTGCTGGTGCTCCGAGTTTTGCCGCAGGTGATCCCGCCTCAGCCACGGAGCTTTGCTCGCTCTCTTCACCCACCTGCACACACAAAGGACAAAGAACCCCCATATTGCCGTGAACAGACTGTCGGGGCAAGTGCTGTTAGCGAGCACCTACGAAAGCCGGAACGGCACACGAGGGGGTGGGTGGCCAGCACCACGCCTGGGTGCCTGTCTGGCAAGTGCTAATGTTTACACATCGCACCAGATGTTAATTTAAGGCCAAATCAATCTGGTGGAGACCCAGAACTGCTTCATAGATTTGCCTCGGTTATTAGTCGTGAGTGGGAATCAATCACCGGGTTCATAGCGCAGTACGCTCACCACTACATTGCCACTCCCCACACATACACAGCCATACATACGCACACAAAGACAAAGATCCCCCAGATTAGCCTTAACAGACTGTTGTGGCAAGTGCTGTTAGTGAACACCAATGAAGGCCAGGACGGCACACGAGGGGGTGGGTGGACAGCACCACGCCGGGCCGCCTTTGGCTCCCTCGTGCCAATATTTTTACACATCACACCAGGTACTCAATTGAGTCGACCTCGGGGAGGCCCAGGACCGGTTCAAATAATCGTCGCTGGTGTTGGCTGTGAGCGGGAATCGAACCCGTGTCGCCGGGTTCCTAGCGCACAGACATACATACACACACACACACACAGTCATACATCAACATACAAAACAACAACAGCTGCCATTCGCCACTCAGTGACGGTGACGTCACCACGGCGCCCGTGCCAGGCCAGACGCACTTTGAGGCCACAGTTGGTCACGGCAGAGACCCAGGTGCCATGGAGTTGACCGAGATGACTGGCAGATGCACCAGCTGTGCCCCCCCATCGCCTGGCGTTGCCGCAACAGCCACGAACTGTGGCCGGAGGAGGGGAATGCGTCCCTGCGGCGGTGGGGGGGGGGGTGGGGGGAGGGGGGGAGGAGGGTCTCACTTGTTCCCGGGGGGCCCGGTGGCCAGGATGTCGGCCTGCAGCTTGGGGAAGAAGCCTGGCTCGTACTTGCCCTGGCCGATGCGCATGTCGAGCAGGTGGGGACGCACGGCGGTGTGGTCGATCCGCGCCAGGCGCGACAGCACGGCCAGCTCTGCCCACGCCGCAGAGACACGCCATGCAGTGAGACGCATCGCAGAGACACGCCATGCAGTGAGACGCATCGCAGAGACACGCCATGCAGTGAGACGCATCGCAGAGACACGCCATGCAGTGAGACGCATCGCAGAGACACGTCGCAGAGACACGCCACATAGCGCTTGGCTACGCACGGTGCAAAAGAAGTTCAACATACGTACAAAAGACAAATATCCCCCGTATAGTCTTAACAGACTGTTGGGGAAAGTGCTGTTAGCGAGCACCTATGAAGGCCGGCACAGCACACGAGCGGGTGGGTGGCCAGCACCACGCCCGGCCGCTTTTGCCTCCCCAGTAGCGATGTTTACACACCGCACTCAGGAACTAATTTGAGGTTGAGTGGACCTAGGGGAGGTCCAGGACCGGTTCAGTCGACCCGTGTATTCGAACCCGAGTCGCCGGGGGTTCGTAGCGCAGCGCAAACCACCACAAACACCACTGCTACACCATCGCTCCTTCACCGGCAACCTCCGATTAGCACGGTTGGCTATGTACGGTGTGAAATAAGTTCAACATGCATACACACACGCGCACACACTCGCTCACGCACGCGCACACACACGCACGCACCGGCCTCCTCGCCGGACGTGCTGCGCAGGTACGTGGAGGTGCGCAGGGTGGGCGTGCGCACGTGCAGCTGGCGCGTCTTCTCCACGCGCGCGTCGAACACGGCCAGCGCCGGGTCCTTCTCGTCCCACTGGGACAGGATCTTGGCGTCGATGAAGGAGGCGAACATCTGCGTCTCGAGGAAGCGCGACAGGAAGGGCAGGTACGGCTCGGGCTGGTCCGACAGGAACGACGCCTGGGGGGGACGGTGGGAGGAGGAGAGGCAGGGAGGGGGGTGGTAGGGAGGGACGGAGGGGAGGAGGGAGGGGAGGAGGAAGGGAGGGGAGGAGGGAGGGAGGGGAGGTGGTAGGGAGGGATGGAGGGAAGGAAGGAAGGAGGGGGGGTGGGAGGGAGAGATGAAGGGAGGGAGGGACAGAGGGAAGGAGGGATGAAGGGAGGGATGAAGGGAGGGAGGGAGGGGGGTGGAAGGGAGGGGGGTGGAAGGGAGGGAGGGGGGTGCGAGGGAGGGAGGGGGGTGCGAGGGAGGGAGGGAGGGAGCGAGAGCGTCGTGGTGAAGCTGAGCGTGAACGATACAGCGGCGACGGAGCTAGTGGGCCGGTGTCGGGGAGAGGGGCGAGCTGGCTCAGGATTTGAGAGGGAGGTAATGACTAAGAGGACGTGAAAAGGGAATGGGAGGATCAGCGACGGGGGTTTGTGGGGACATTGCAGGTGGCGGCGAGTTAGAGGAAGGTCGTGGAAATGAATTACAGAAAGTAAAACAAATATAAAACATTTTAAACAAGTTGATGGTTAAGGCATTGTTACAGACAAACGAGTTGAGTTTCGTTATGTGTGCTTGTGCACCACTGCCAAAACATCATCAAATAGTTGCATGTATATGAACTTCTTTCACACCAAACGTAGTGCAACGTGCTAATTGGAGGTGTGAGGGAAGGACAATAAACTAAACACAAAAAACAGTTCTAAATAAATGAGTTTTCAATCCAGATGACTTAAAAGTGCCTCCTGATATCGGAAGGAAGAGCATTCCAGACGGCCACAGAAGCGCATCCGAAAGTGCGCAGTGCAGCCAGCAGCCAAACGCCGCCATGAGGGATGACCGCAGTTCGCGTGATGGTTCATGCTCCCTGACGAGACCAGCGACTTATCGCCGTTCATTTCGTGGCGAGCAGCTTTACGCGCCACGAGCGCTGGCTTCCACGCGAGCGAGCGCGGGCGCACCTTGTCGAAGTTCTGCGTCTGCTCGCGGCTGCTGCCGAGCCAGGCCTCCATCTCCTGGCCGGCGGGCGCGATGACGAACACCTCGTAGTCGGCGAACATGTGCGTGAAGCGGTTGGCGAACGCCTCCCGGAGGTGAGCGTTCAGCCGCAGGTCGTCCACCTCCCGCTCGCTCAGCCCGCTCGCCCTCACCGCCTCCTCCGCCGCCGCCGCCGCCGGCCGCTCCTCTCCCGCCCTGCTCTCCGTGTCCCGCGGACGCCCCGTCCCGTCGCCCGGTTCCGGCACGGCCGCGACGTCGGCCGAGTCGGCGGCGGCGGCGGCCGGCAGGCCGATGCCCGCGCGGCGCGCCAGCGCCTGTATCCTCGTGAGCCGCTCCGGGCCGTCCCGCACCGCCGCCGCCGCGGGGCCGTTGCCGTTGGCCTCGTCGTCGCGCGGCCGACGTCGCCGCGCCGGCTCGGCGCCCCCTCGCCGGAGGGCGGCGCCGTCGGCGGGGTCCGGGTCCGCCGCGAAGTTGCGGGAGGGGGCGGGGGCCGGGTCGGCGACGCCGCCGCCGGCGGGGGCGGTCGCCGCGAGGGGTTTGCCGCCGCGGCGGATGGCGCGGCCGCCCCCGGCGACGGGCGGCGGCGGCGGATCCGGCGGCACGCGGAACGCGGCGAGGACGGCGGCCAGCTCGGCCACGAGCTCCGCTCTGTGCGGGAAGAGCGGCAGGTCCTCGGGGACGTCCACCCGGTGGTTGGTGATGTCCACGAAACATAGGTTGGCCTGCCGGGAGGGTTGGGGGGTTGGAGGGTGTGGGGGGGGGGAGGGTGGTGGGGGAAAAAAAACGAAACGGCGACGTTTCGAGTCGAGCAATCGAGAGAGTGTGGGCCGGGTGGTCGACCCTCGCACGCGCGTGCGCTAGCCGCGTACCGGCACTGCGCCCGTAACCGCCGGCACTACCGACGTACCGTTACTGCACGCAGGCCGGCGACTACCCGTGTTCCGGCACTACCCGCGTACCGAGCCGTTGTCCCGTCTTCACGGCCGTAGAGTGCGCAGTCTCTACGAGGCCACGTAAACCCGTGACGTATAACATAACAGGTGCACGTATCACGAGCGAAAGGATATATATCGGATGATTGATTAATGTATAACTATATCCCTGGCGTATATGCATGTGTATGTATGAATACGTCCAGGTGTACATGTATAAAAGAACGAATAAGTGTATGTGCATATATATGCAACTATGCATGTACGTGTGTCTTTGTATATGAATGAGGTAATGTAGCGGTGAGTGCGCTGCGCTACGAACCCGGTGACCCACTCACAGCAAATATTGGAGACGCAAATCTGAACCGGTCCCGGGCATCCCCGAGGTCAAATCAGCCTTAAATGATTGGTTCGTACTGTGGTTGTGAGTAAACCATCAGCAATGGGGAAACAAAAGCGGCCGTGCGTGGTGCTGGCCACCTACCCCCTCATGTGCCGTGCCATCATTTGCAGTTGCTCGCTAGCAGCACTTGCCCCAACAGCCTGTACAGGCTAGAGCGGAGATCTTTGTCTTTGTTATCACGCACGTGCGTGGGTGGGTGCGTGGGTGGGTGCGTGGGTAGGTGGATGCGTGGGTGGGTGCGTGGGTGGGCGCGTGGGTGGGTGCGTGGGTGGGTGCGTGGGTGGGTGCGTGGGTGGGTGCGTGGGTGGGTGGATGCGTGGGTGGGTGGTTTGGCGCGTGAGTAGGTGGGCGGTGGCGCAGCGGTTAGCGCTGCGCTACGAAGACTGCGTCCCGGGTTCAATTCCCGCTCACGGCCAACACCATTGACGATTATCTGAAGCGGTCCTGGGCCTCGCCTAGGTCGACTCAGTACCTGCTGCGATGTGCAAACATCGCCACTGGGGAGACAAAGGCGGCCGGGCGAAGTGCTGGCCAGTTGCTCGCTAACAGCACTTGCCCCAACAGTCTGTTAAAGCTACACGGGGGATCTTTGTCTTGGTGCGCTGCCTCGCCAACCTCGTTGGGCAGCTCCGGGAGGCAGCAGTCATCGTGGCTCTCCGCGTGCAGCCCCATGAGATAGGGCACGGGCGCCTCCAGGAAGTAGAGCAGCGACGCGGGGAGGATGGGCACGTAGACGTGCTGCCACGCGAACGGGAAGAGCAGCGCCGTCACGCACTCCGCCACCAGCATCAGTTGCTGGTAGTCTGGTGAGGAGGAGAGGGGGGGGGAAGAGGGGGAGGGCGTCAGGGTCAAGCAGCACGAATCATCGCGCGAACTCCGGTCATCCTCACAGCAGCGGCTTTTGGCTAACCATCGAACAATAACGGTCATGGCATCGCTCGCTTTCAGATGCGCTTCTGCGGCCGTCTGGAATGCTCTTCCCTCCGATATGACGAAGACACCGGAGCTGTGGAGTTTAAAATCATCTCGTCTGACAAACTAATTTCTTTAGAACTGCTTTGTGTGTTTAGTTTGTTGTCCTTCCCCGCACCTCCGATTAGCACGGTTGTCTGCGTACGGTGTGAAAGAAGTTCAACATGCATGCATAAAGGGGGTCAAGGTCGTGGGAGCGTGGCACAACAAGACTGGTGTCAACACAATCCCAGTAAAACAACAACAGCAGCAGCCGCCATTCGCCACCAAGTGGCGGTGACGTCACCACGGCGCCGGTGCCAGGCCAGGGTGCACTTTGAGGCAACGTGAAGTGTCGAAGGCTCGATGCTGGCAGGAGGTCATGGGACAGACTCAGGTGCCGTGAATTGGTTGGCTGACCGAGACGACTGGCAGATGCACCACCTCCCTAATGTGCCAACTTCCTGCGTTTTAGTTGCCCGGCGCGTTGTTCGTTGTTGTCAGCACCTCTGATCAGCACGCTTGGCTACGGGGAAAGAAGTTCAACATAAATACAAAAACAAAGATCCCCCATATAGCCTTTAACAGATTATTGGGGAAAGTGCTGTTAGCGAGCATCTATTAAGACAGGCATGGCACATGAGGGGGTGTTTGGCCAGCACCACACACAGCTGCTTTTTGTCCCCTGATAGTGAAGTTTACACCACACCGCACCAGGTCGTTATTTGAGGCTGAGTCGGGAATCGAACCCGGGTCGCGGGTTTTGTAGCGCGGCGCGACAACTCTACACGCCAACTCTACGTGACACACACACACGCCCACACACATGTGCGCAAACCGCACTCTCATACATGTGCGCAAACCGCACTCACACACACTCACACACACGTGCGCAAACCGCACTCACACACACAGATATGCACACATACACGCACTCACACACACAGATACGCACACACACACGCACTCACACACACACCGTTGGAGTAGAGCAGGATCTGTATCTCGAGCAGCGCGCACGTGAACAGCTGCAGCACGTTGTCGAGGCCGAGCAGCTCGACGAGCTCGCGCAGCGCGTGGTCCAGCAGCGGCAGCTCGGCGGCGCCGGGCCGCTGGCACACGACCAGGGGGCCCTGCACGCCGGCGAAACGCAGCGAGCGGCCCGGCGGAGGCAGCGGCACCTCGTACAGGAGGTTGTACACGTAGCTCTCCAGCGGCAGCGGGGGCGGCCGCGGCGACGTCACCGCGCGGTGCAGCTGCAGCAGCACCTTGCGGCAGGCCTGCAGGCGCCGGGGGGGGGAGGAGGGGGGGAGGAGGGGGGAGGAGGGGGGGGCAGAGGGGGGGGTTCAACTCAAACTAACTTTCACGTATACACACGCGTGTGGATATCATGGGACCTTTTTGCCACTATCAAAGTATGGTGTCTATTTTGTTGTTTGAACATCTTAACACCTGTTTCGTTGCCAGCAAGGGTACAAAACCTATTCTTTGATGTTGGCAAACAGGTATCCCGGAATATAGCTGCTCACCCCAACCTATAAATGCTATAGAAGGCATTGCCACTTGAAATCAGGAAATCAGAGTCGGTGGATATAATTAAGCCTGCTTTGAAAACCCATCTCTTTAAAGTGGCCTTCCCCCTCTAGTTTGGTCGGTGGCACTGGTTCTGTTTCTGTTTCACCGCCTTCCATGCATTGCGCATTGGGATCCTAGGATGGAATCCGCATGAAACATTGGAATTATTATTATTAAATTCTCCGATACGTGCCTTGTCTTTGGTGTAGGCCAATCAGTTTTTAAGACAATGCATAACTTATCACACAACATGTTTGTTTGCATGTTCACCACAAGTACGTGTGGTTAATGCAGACTTGATGCCTTGCAAAAGGTTTCTATTTGGTGTTTGAACGTCTTAATACCTCCTGTTTAATTGCGAGCAAGGATATTTTCTACACGTGTGGTTGTCTAACACACTGGATTCTCATGTAGAGTGTCTCAGCAGTGCTGGATGGATGCTCTGACACGGGGATCGGCCCAGCTGAGCCAGGAGCTGGAGGGGGCAGATCACCCCTTGATGAGGCCTTTGGGACCCTTGGAAATTCTTGCAGTAAAGTAAAAAAATGTCAGAACAATGTTTAAGAATTTATCAAGGCGGTGATGTGGTCTCCCTTTGCGAAGACTAAAGTAAACTATTTTTTATTTCGCCAGGCAATGCCCACTGAGCTATGTAGCTCTTTTTCAGAAGCGACTTGGCTATCACAAATGATAGCTCAACGAAGTGGCTTATCGTCGTGTGGAAATGTTTTGCAGCCAAATAACTCTAAATGCGTGATGTTGATTCTAAATGTCGAGGGAAAAACTGGAGGACCCGGAGAAAAATCCACGTGACCACGGGGAGAAAGACACGCAAACTCCAAATATACAGCAGGCGTCAGGGTCGGGTTCAAAACCGCGACCTCCTGTAGACCAGGCGAGGTAGAGCTAGAGCAGAATACATGATAAACGATGGACGGTGGCAGCCCGTTACTCATTCAGTTTTTTAGTTCTTGGAAGTTTGTTTAACAGTCACTGTGTTGTGCCCCCCTCCCCCACTTAAGTCTTCTGTATGCCCCCCCCCTTTAAACAGGGTCCTGCGGTATGGGCACGCCGAGCAACACAATCACCCCGGCGTTCTACGTCATCGGAGCAAACCGCGGTCGACGCCGACAACCAGCCCCCGGCGCAGGCCGGGCGCGCGTACCTGAGCGAAGGGGAGCGGCGTGATGAGGCACAGCGCTTTGGAGACGTAGAGCGTGTCGCAGCCGATCTCGTACGAGTTGAAGCGCTGCAGCAGCCGCCGCCCCCCGCCGCCGCCGCCGATCGGGGCGCCCCCCCCACCGCCGTGCCGCCCCCTCCGCTCTGCCGGCGGCGTCTCCGCGGGGAAGTGTCCCGCGGCGACCCCGGGGCTGTCCGGCGATTCCGGGATCGCGAACGTGGCGATGCCGCCGCCGCCGCCGCCGTCGCCGCTCTGCGCGTTGTGCATGGCGTAGAGCGTGTGCATGGCGTGGCAGATGGAGCGGCACGTGACCTCCTCGTAAAAGGTGAGCGCGAAGGCGTAGGTGCGCGTGCCGTCCTCGCGGGTGATGAGGAACGAGTGGAAGTGTGGCGTGCGGTCGTCCGTCTGCGTCCGGAACGACAGCCCCTTCGGCATGCACAGCTGCTCCCCGACCCAAACACCGCCGCCACCGTCACCCGTGGAGGAGGCGGGAGGGAGGGGATGCCAACGGGAGAGAGAGAAGGGAGGAAGAGGTTGGGGGAGTAAAAAAAGAGAAAGGCGCGTTAACAATGTCATCGTAAACCGCGTACGCTTTGCGCGAGAGATGTATTCGATGGGACGTACGCACGACAGATGTACGGTGTTTTTTCCACTGGCACATCCGAGCCGCGCCAACATGGTGGCCCTTCACGGCACGGGTGATTTCCCACCGGCTATTTGCCAGGCCGAGTCTGAATCAAACGCTTCAACTCCTGGCCTCACGAGAACATGTGAATCTGGCTGGGGTGCCAAGCAGGGGCCCTTGGGAGAGTGGTGGTAGGGGGGGGGAGTTCATCATTTCTCGCCAGGCATGCGACGCGACCCGTTCGCCGCACGAAGACGTCAGCGGCGCGGGTTTTGCGGCGGAATGACAACTCGGCACCTTCCCAACCGCACCGGGCCGGCCCGGACTCTGATGGGAAGGCCTTCACACAACAGACTGAAACACGGCATGGATTGGGTATTTGAATGTATTGGCAGTACACCGGCCGTGCGCGGAATGAAGAAAATAAAAAAATTTCGCAGAAATGATTTACGTTCCCGCGATTCGCAACCTTGGTCAGAAAATCTTGCGGGGTGGTGATGGTGCATTAAAATCAGTTCTCGTGACGTCGAAGCAGTCGGAAGACGAACGTTTTGAGCGGCTGAGCACGAAGCTTCACAGTCTGTTGAATCTAAGGCAACTTCCGATGGAGAGTCTGTGGCTCACTCAGTCAGTGCTTGCTGCTTCGCTGTGCTTGTGCAAATTCTGTTTGAAAATGTTTCGTGATTTAAACGAGAAAATAAAAAATACAATAAACCAATAAACTTTCCATTAAGATGCAGCGGGTTTAATGGATTTTAATAATTAAACAATACGTTAAAACTCTTTACGTTTGTGGAACGTAAACTTCTCTTCACGTAAACGTCGCTTTTGTACTTGCGCACAAACATGCAAGAGCACGGAACGAGAAGGAATTGCCGATCGATGTTCCAAATTAAGTGTTCCTCACGACGCAAGGGTTTGAAGGAAAACTCAGAGAAACATCAATACCCTGGTCCATTAAGTGCTGACATTGAGTTGGGCAGGCCTACGCCTGCCCAACTCAATGTCAGCACTTAGAGCCACTTGCTGCCACCGCCGCCGCCACGCGGTGCCATTAGAGCTGGTTCCGCTGCCATCGTCGTTTGGCGGTCGACGTTCGAAGTGGTGGACTGCGACCCCTCAAAGGAATGGTGCTGCTAACCCCCCCCCCACCCCCCACGTGATCCGTAGTTCAAACAAAATCACTCGAGACGCCGGTGTGTACGGCAGCCAAGAGCGGTTCATGCGAATGCTGTCGCTCGCAAGAGGTCACGCGCGCACGGTTGGCGCAGCGGCAATCCTTCATTGCGTTGCGACTGTGCGCGACGACTGAACGAACGGACGGACGGACGGATGAATGGGTCGTTCACAGCGGCAGGTCACTTGTGAGCTGTGTGGCCACGGGCCAACGTGAAAAAGACCCGCAACTAATTTCGGGAGAAATAAATACGTAACGACGATCATCTTCTCCGCGCGCGGTGGCCAAAAGTCTCCACAGCTAAATAGGTACGCGTCGCCTTTAAACATGTCACACGCTTCCAAGTAATGGAATTGTTTGATTCAAAAACGAATATTTATTATCTTGTGGATACACACGAGCAGTACACTCTTAACATTTTTTTGTATTGTATCAGGTACGGCCCATTGAGTTGTATAGCCACAAATGACAGCTCAACGAAGTGGCTTATCACATGGAAATGTATTACAGCCAAATACTCTAAAAGCGTGTTTCTAAATGTGGAGGGAAAAACTAGAACCACGGGGAGAGAGACACGCAAACTCCAAATACACAGGCGTCAGGGTCGGGATCGAACCCACGACCTCCCGGATACCAGGCGAGGTAGTTAGCGTCTCCTCGCCACCGCGGCAGTGTGTCCCAGGCTGTCTGACACGAGTTTAAAACCTTGCTAATGAAGAAACAAATCCATTAAAAGCAAACAAAGGCCCTCTGCCAGAGGACCCGAGTGCGACGCCCCTGCTTTATATTAAAGCGTACGGTGGTAGCCTCAGCGGTGTCATTAGCTTGCTCGAACGAAGCGCACGAGACAAAGAACACGTCAATTTCCTCACAGACGAAGCCCACAGCTTGCAACGGACAAACTTTGGCGGCGAGCCGAGGCTCCGATATGTACTAGACAGGCGACATGTATTTCTCTGTTTGCGTTTCGCTTTCATCAACCGAGCATCGATGTTCGGATGTACAAATTATAGCAAAGGTGTTGATGAAACCGAATCGTGGCCAACGTCGTCGGCCATGATTTTCCACTGCTGGATGAAGGCCTCTCCTAGCCGTCGTGATCTCCGACAGTAAGGCGACGACGCAACGATTCGTTGATAATCTCGAACACAAGCTTCCCCCTCTGTCATGAGTCCCTGATCACTTCTTGTCTCTAGTAGATTTGGAGACATTATCTCGTGCGTCTGTCGTCTGAGTGAGTTTGCATCATCATTTTATCTCATCGCTTTCTCCCATCACATTCTCTCTCATCACTTTAAATCATCACTTTCTTTCTCTCTCTCGAGCCAGTCGTGGTAGAGATGCGATCCGCTGACGGGCAAAATCGCGGATAGCTAGTATCGTGAATAACGAGGGAACACTTGTACAGACGGGGTTCACGGACCCACTTGCTGTACTGCCTTGCCCCCTGGGCCACCTCGCAGCCTGGTAGGGCATGGGAATTTCACAAATCTGTGCGACCCGCTGATTCTCACCTCCAAAGCGGTGAACGGATCACCGGGCATGCCTGGACGTACAGAGCAACACACCGGAAAAAAGAGGAACCAGGCCCGTTGTACGTACATATGTAAATATGTGTGGCTGTTGAACTTCTTTTGCACTGTACGTAGCCAACCATGCTAATCGGAGGTGCGGTGGTTGTATGTTGAATTTCTTTCGCACCATACGTAGCCAACCGTGCTAATCGTGCTGTGGTTGTACGTATGTGAAACTTCTTTCGCACCGTACGTAGCCCAACTGCGCCAATCTGCGGGGAGTTCATTGCGATGCGGAATTGCGGTATCGGAGTGCCGGGCACGCGGTGGGGACACAGCGGTAAGCGACGTTGGCCGGATGAACCGGCGGCGTGCGGGAAACCAGGAGGGTGGGGGGGGGGGCAGCACGTACCATGCCCACGGCGTCTCCATCGAAGGGGTTCCAGTCGACTGCCTGGGGGTAGTGAGCCAGCACCTTGGCCTTGAAGGTGCGGCGCAGCGGGGTGCACTCGAAGTTCTCTCCTGCGTTCCACCACGGAGACAAAGGCAAAAGATCCCCCGCCGTGGAGCCTTAACAGACCGTTGGGGCGAGTGCTGTTAGCGAGCGCTCATTAAGGCTGGCACGGCGCACACGTTGAGGGGGTGGGGGGTGGCCAGCACCGCTCCCGGCTGCCTTTGTCACCCCACAGTGCTTGATGTTGCACACCGCACCGGGTACTTTGTTTAAGGCCGAGTCGACCTGATATCACGAGCCACCGATGTCAGTGACGGCCGGGAAAAATACGACTCAGGTCGCAGCATTAACCACTGTCACCGCTCTTTAGGTCGAAGACAGACTGTAGGGGCACGTGCTGTTAGCGAGCACCTATGATAGCCGGCACGGCACACGAGTGGGTGAGTGGCCAGCACCACACCCGGCTGCCTTTGTCTCCCCAGTGGCGATGTTTACACACCACACAGGGTACTCATTTGAGGCTGAGTCGGCCTTGGCGAGGCCAGGACCGATTCAGATAATTGTCACTGGTGTTGGCCGTGAGCGGGAATCGAACTCGGGTCACCAGGTTTGTGGCGCAGTGCGCCAACCACTACACTATCGCTCACTAGCCACCGAAGTTAGTCATGGCTGGAATCAATAAAACTCAGGTCGCCGGGTTCACAGCGTTCACCACTATCACCGCTCTTTAGGTCACACACATACATACAGTACATAACACAGCCACTTGGCACACACACGCTCACACACACGCACTCACACGCACGCGCTCACACGCACGCGCACGTACACGGTGCGTACACGGTTTGTGTCATGGTGCTACCTGGTCAAACGCACGTGAGGCAGAGATCATCTCCTTCAGTGGCCATAAGCCGGGAGTTACAATGCCACGAATGCCACTGTTGATATCCGACCGACCGACAAAAGGTGGCGCTTATTGTATGACGGCCTGAGCCAACTCCCCACGAGTATGCTCAGATGAGAGCGCTAGGCTGTGTGACCGCAGACCGTCTCGTGATCTCTTTATGTATTGACTCCTGCTGCTGCTGCTGTCCTTGCATCAACACAAGTAGCCGACGCAAATCATTTCCCCCAATTACGATGTTTTCCGGGTTATACGACGCACATTTCCCCCAGCATGTTCAAGCGAAGGGTTGGTTGCGGGTCCGTCTAATAATAATCCAGTCGGTGTGTTTGAGCGTATTGCGTGACCAGATTTGTCAGTCATCTCCTGCTAGCATTGAGACATTTCACGTGGCATGAAAGTGCACCCTGGACTGGCACAGCTGCCGTGGTGACGTCACCGTCACTTAGTGGCGAATGGCGGTTGTATTAGTGTTGGTGACCAGATGTGTATCCCTCTGCTGACACCGGGCGCAGGTTTGGGGCGTCTCTTACATTCTGGAGCGTCGTTTAATCCGGAGAATGCGGCAGCCGTTTATGGAATTGCAAAAGTGACCCAGACAGAGCAGAGAGCAGACCTGCTTTAGAGTGGCTCTGTAAGTTAAGCTGAGGATAGATATTTGTTCGAGTAAAGAGTTAAGTTTCAAGTCACGTGAATAAATTATAGTGAATAAGTCCGATTTTTACTGTCATCACTACATTTTCAACCACATTCTTTATTTACAATAAATAATTCAGCCCCTCTGGGCCCTTACTTTAAGCTGTGCGTGCGGTCAACTTCACTGGATCGCTTTGCTTAGACCCGACACTACATTTCATGCGTGGCGTGCAAAGTCAATCAGTTTATGCGCCAAAAATGAAGTATGGTACTGTAATGAAATAAACGGGATATCCGGCAATTGCCGACAATCCCAACACCGTGACAACGCGCCAACTCATTGTGGCGCACGCACGCAGGGCTGTTACGGGCACCGTGTGTTCACACGCGTTGTGCGCACAGTTAAGCCCTCGACTTCACGTTATCTCCATTTGCGATTAAACGAAAAATCTGAAACTATTTTTTCACTTTACCAGGTAATGTCCACTGAGCTATGTAGCTGTTTTTCAGAAGCGACCTGGCGATCACAAATGATAGTTCAACAAAGCGGCTTATCGCGTAGAAATGTAAAGTTAATACTTTAAAAGCACGTGGATTCTCAATGTGGAGGGGAAAAACCGGAGGAGCCGGGAAAAAATGCACATGACCATGGGGAGAACATACAAACTGCAAATATTCAGCAGCAGGCGTCAGGGTTGGGATCGAACCCACAACCTCCTGCAACCAGGCGATGTAGTTAACATCTTGCCACCGTGGCGCACCTATCAGAAACACATCGCGGACGTAAACCGGGGCATCACTGTACTACACCTTCACCAACCAGAACCGGCATGGTGAAGTATGCTCAACTGACCCCCATGACCCACTGCAGTGTGGAGAGGGCCTTCCTTGATGCAGCAGTGGAATGAGGAAAGGGCTGCAGCACGCACACGCATTTGGATTTGAACGTTCACCCCGCGTCTCTAACCCCCATCTACGTCAAGCCATGCCACGCATCGACTATCCCAGGAACGGGCAAGAAAAATAACACGAAGAGGCATTTTCTTGGGCAAGGAAAGAAAACCCCCGACAATATTTCAAGATCCGCCAATTCATGGGAATACGTATGTTTGTGTGGTGGCATCGAGGGGGCCACAGCAGTGCAGAGACAGTGCCGTGTGAGGGGTGGGACTGTCAGGGCAGAGCCCGGGTGTCGCTGAGAAGGGGGTCATGTCAGGACGTGACCGCGAGGTGAACCCGGGAGGACACGTGACCGGACGAGAGGGGGCAGGGGGGCACCAGTCGGGAGTGAGAGGATCACGTGATGGAGATCCAGGGTCCCCACGAGGGTTCTGGAAGGGGGGCGTGGCCAAGGGGCGGAGCCAGCCACGCCAGGGGAGTTATAAGCGGGGTCCCGAGAGGGTTCGGGGCGCTCAACTCTGGGAATGAAGTCGCCGTCCTCCATCTCCGGTCTCCACGTGTGGACCAGGCAGCCTGTTAGCCCTCCGGGTCCGGCTATAGAATTGTCTCTTCGAGTGTCGGTTTGGTGAGCCGTGGTGGTCACCACCCTCTGCTGTTACCCTGTTAGAGTTACCCGTTGTGTTAGATAAACGTGCTGCCTCCAAGTACAAGTGTGCACCTAAGTCAACACACTATGTATGTATGAATGTTGACCTTCTTTCGCACCGTTATGTAGCCAACCGTGCTCGTCGGAGGTGCCGGGAGAAGGACAACACCACTAAAAACACGCACGCAGAAACACTAAAAACACGCACGCAGAAACACTAAAAACACGCACGCAGAAACACTAAAAACACGCACGCAGAAACACTAAAAACACGCACGCAGAAACACTAAAAAACGCACGCAGAAACACTAAAAACACGCACGCAGAAACACTAAAAACACGCACGCAGAAACACTAAAAACACGCACGCAGAAACACTAAAAACACGCACGCAGAAACACTAAAAACACGCACGCAGAAACACTAAAAACACGCACGCAGAAACACTAAAAACACGCACGCAGAAACACTAAAAACACGCACGCAGAAACACTAAAAACACGCACGCAGAAACACTAAAAACACGCACGCAGAAACACTAAAAACACGCACGCAGAAACACTAAAAACACGCACGCAGAAACACTAAAAACACGCACGCAGAAACACTAAAAACACGCACGCAGAAACACTAAAAACACGCACGCAGAAACACTAAAAACACGCACGCAGACACACTAAAAACACGCACGCAGAAACACTAAAAACACGCACGCAGAAACACAAAAAACACGCACGCAGAAACACTAAAAACACGCACGCAGAAACACTAAAAACACGCACGCAGAAACACTAACACCACGCACGCAGAAACACTAAAAACACGCACGCAGAAACACTAAAAACACGCACGCAGAAACACTAAAAACACGCACGCAGACAAACTAAAAACACGCACGCAGAAACACTAACACGCACGCAGAAACACTAAAAACACGCACGCAGAAACACTAAAAACACGCACGCAGAAACACTAAAAACACGCACGCAGAAACACTAAAAACACGCACGCAGAAACACTAAAAACACGCACGCAGAAACACTAAAAACACGCACGCAGAAACACTAAAAACACGCACGCAGAAACACTAAAAACACGCACGCAGAAATACTAAAAACACGCACGCAGAAACACTAACACGCACGCAGAAATACTAAAAACACGCACGCAGAAACACTCAAACGCACGCAGAAACACTAAAAACACGCACGCAGAAACACTAAAAACACGCACGCAGAAACACTAAAAACACGCACGCAGAAACACTAAAAACACGCACGCAGAAATACTAAAAACACGCACGCAGAAACACTAACACGCACGCAGAAATACTAAAAACACGCACGCAGAAACACTAAAAACACGCACGCAGAAACACTAAAAACACGCACGCAGAAACACTAAAAACACGCACGCAGAAACACTAAAAACACGCACGCAGAAACACTAACACGCACGCAGAAACACTAAAAACACGCACGCAGAAACACTAAAAACACGCACGCAGAAACACTAACACGCACGCAGAAATACTAAAAACACGCACGCAGAAACACTAACACGCACGCAGAAACACTAACACGCACGCAGAAACACTAAAAACACGCACGCAGAAACACTAAAAACACGCACGCAGAAATACTAAAAACACGCACGCAGAAACACTAACACGCACGCAGAAATACTAAAAACACGCACGCAGAAACACTAACACGCACGCAGAAACACTAAAAACACGCACGCAGAAACACTAAAAACACGCACGCAGAAACACTAAAAACACGCACGCAGAAACACTAAAAACACGCACGCAGAAAAACGTCACGAAGCAGTCCGTCAAAAGAGCCGCATGCAGCCTCCGGAGCCGATTGCCCTCCCTCTACGAGAAAACGTGGACGATGACGACGGCGTTGTCGTCGTTGTTGTTGTTGTTGCGAGCTCTTGTGAAATTTCCTGACGCCCGACTCGTAATGTGTGGTTTG